ATATTTGATCGACACCTACATCTGAAGACATACCCTCACAAACCCTATGATCACAAGTACTATTCTCATCTTTATCCTTGATTTACAAGGAAACCAAGGCAGAGAAAGATGTTAGATAACTTCCCTAGAGTCCCACAGGAAGTTTACCAACAAAGAATGGGAAACAATCACAGCCTAGAGGCAGTTTTCTATTCCCAGCTTTAATGATTTAATATCATTAAACAGTAAATAAATATATAAATAAATAAATGGTGGAGATGGAACTCAGCCCCTTGCAAACTAGCTCCAGAGTCCCCACCCATGCCTCAGTTGGACAAATAGCCTGCTGTCATTGAAGACCTGGAAATGCATCCAATGTAGAGATTCCTGGAACTTGTTATTGCCCACTAAGGGGCCAAGAAGATAAATTTGTCAAAAACTATAGGTTTCTACTCCTTTTGTGACCCTGAAATATATTGTTTTTAATTTCCTGTGGCACCCACCAAATTCCAAGAAGCTCTAATTTTCTTTAACCAGTGGTATATAGCCAACTGGTAAAACAGCTCTTTTCAGAATCTGTATTTTGCCCTACATATAATTGTCTGCTCTCATCTATTTTACCCATCTGACAAAAATGACTTTGATGTGGGAAATGTCCATATTTCCTGTAGGAAATACTTGGGGTGATCCTAGTACTCCTGCCTTGAGGTTAACCACTCCCCTGGAAAACTAATAGAACCCCCAGTCCCTCCAGAGGAACTGTCATGTCTCCACCATTACACCCCTGCTTGCAGAAACATGGATTTTTAGAGGATGTCTTCATTGCAGAGGGCAATTACTATTTGCTATTTTGTATAACAAAAGGGGATTAAATTGGGCCAGGGCATCTTTGAAATAGTGTGGATGAAGGAAAGCTTGGCTGTGTGGGTGGTATATGTAACGTTTGTATGTTCTGATGAGTGTGTGTGTCCTCATGTGAGGGGCAATCAAGTGGCAGAATATAATGGACATGTCCCGATTGCTCCATTCCCCAGCACGTTAAATGGTAGCAGAAATAGCCATGTTTGTAACTGACCTTTTCTCCCTAGCCCTAGCAGACAGGTCATGGAGGAGATGTTAGCAGGGACCATTTCCTGGGAATAACAGAGGAAGGCCGGCTGCAGGATTACAAGGGACAGGTGAGTGTAATTCAACCCAAAGGGTGACACCTACATCTGAAGACACGCCCTCGACTTCCTGAGCCGGGACAATGCCCAAGTCACTTCGAAATGTAGTGATCCATAGGTCAGAGCCTCTTGCTTCAAGATGGAAGGCGTGGGTCATTCAGAGTGGCTCCCCACACTAGCCTACCCTGGAAATTTTGGATTTGCCAGCCTCCATAATAATGTGAGCCAATTCCTTAAAAATCTCTCTCTCTCTGTACATCATATTGATACTGTTTCTCTGGAGAATCCTGAGACATACAGGGTTGTCATTAGAATTAGATGAGCTCCTGGACATAACACTTTTCAAACAGGGCAGGGTTGGGGGCCATGCTAAGAGACTTCAGTATTCACACATCTGGTTGAACTTCAAAGATACCTGTGCTCTCTTGCTCTTTGAACACATCCCAAAGCTATTGAAAATGCCCTAATGCCGCAGTCTGGCTGGGCACAATTCAGGAGCCACTTGTCAAAAGAAACAAACTTTATTTTTAGAACACACACACCAAACCACACAGCTCCTCAGGAAAACCTTCAGAGCCCAACTGCCACCACCGGCTTCCCACAAGCCTCTCAACACCCCCACTCCTCCTGCTCTTGAGGCTGATTGGCTGGGTTGTGTGGGCGGAGCCAAAAGAGTCCCCGAATGAGCAGCTCTGTGGTCTGAAAGGGCGGGGAAACAGCCCAATGAGCATCACCTCAGAGGAGTCAATCAGCTGGCAGCTGGAAGTTTGCTGGGGCCACTGTGAGCCAATCATCAACTGGCAGCTGGAAGTTTGCTGGCAGCCGGAAGTTTGCTGGGGCCCGTTCGGCTGTGGCTCTCAACACCCTTCTACCTTCAGCAAGTCAGCAAGAGACACTTGGGTCTCCCTGCAAGTCAGACACTCAGAGGTGGCACAGCAGGAAGTTGGAGGCTGCCTTCAATGACTCTTGGTGTTGCAGCCCCAACAACTGTGGCACCTCCAGCTGGGAGCTACAACTTGAAGGACAGCTCCTTGGACAGATCCTGAGCTAATAGTCTCCACCTGCAGCTTCCTGGTGGTGTGGCTCAGAGCTTCCTCTAGATTAGAACTGTGATGTGCAGTGCAAGGCAAAAGAAGCAAATAGTTTGATCTCTCTATGCTTCTGAGAGACTTCTATGAGGCCTTCAGTCATGTAGAGAAGAAACAAAGTCTAAGACAAATATGGTCTCCTGTCCTTAAGATAGCTGAGGAATCAAATTCAGATGCAAGTTTTGAATCTGCCACATTTAGCAGAAAACATAAAACGCTGTGTGGACACAGGGAACTGATATGGAATCCATCTAAAGCAGCAAGTTCATTATGTATAGCTTTCTTGTCTTTGGAAGTGAACAGAGTCTTGGCTGTAGGGTCCTGAGAGGCCTTAGGGTCTTATACAGTTAGCAGCAGAAAGTAGCCACAGTTATCTTGATCTTAAGTAAAAACATCCTTTTCAAAGTATGAGACTCCTTTTCCATTATGGGGCACATCTAAGAGCTGGCATACAAAAATTCGGGGACATTCTCATCCCCTTACGAGGATCCTGATAGAATCAACCAAATTTATGGAACTTGTTAACAGTGTGGCCTGAGCATGAAGATCAGTGGGTCCAGAAAGTGGCATCTCTCTGGCTCATGCTTGTGAGGCAGCTGGGACTAATGTCACATGTGTGAATCCCTCCCTTTCCAATTTGTTTTATGCTTATGCACTAACCTTATTAAATTCTCTGTAGGGATAGTTGTGGGTGGTTGAGCTATGCTGACCTCTCTCACCCATCCAGTGAGCAGGGAAGCCAAGAGATTGTACCTACCCTTTATTGCTGCTGTAGTCCCTCCCAGCCACCCCAACATGGTTTCAATTTGTGCAGTTTGTTACCCAAGGTCAAATGTATCCCAAGAATATTAAGTGGAAAATTCCATAAATAAACAATTCCTAAGTTTTAAATTGTGTGTCATTCTGAGTAGCATGATGCAATCTCTCGCTGTCCTGCTGTGTACAGTCTGGGAAGTGAATCATCCCTGTTTTGTGTGTGCACATGATGCTGCATATGCTGCTGTCTGTTAGTCACTCAGTAGCTGTCTGGGTTATCAGACCAACTGTCATAGACCTTGGGTTCAAGTAATTCCTTTTCCTTAATGGCTCCAATGTGCAAGAGTAGTGATGCTAAGAATTCAGATATGCCCAAGAGAAGCCACAAAGAGCTTCCTTTAAGAAAAAGGCAAAGTACAATAAGATATTTTGAGAAAGAGGGACACATTCATTTAACTATCTACACACACACATATATTGTATTTTGTTATTGATCATTGTTGTTCCCCCTGCCTGCTTTGTGCCAGGGATTGAACTTAGGAGGCTTAACCACTGAGCAATATCCTTAGTTCTTTTTATTTTTCATTTTGAGGCAGGGTCTTGCTAAGTTGTTTAGGGCCTCAGTAAATTATGGAGGCTGGTTTTGAACTTGGGATCCTCCTGACTCAGCCTCCTGAGCCACTAGGATTACAGGTGTGCCCCACTGTACCCAGCTATTGTTTATCTCTCATTGTACCTAATTTATAAATTAACTCTATCATAGGTAGGTATGTATAGGAAAAGTATAATTATAAGCTTCAGTACTATCCACAGATTCAGGCTTCCACTTGGGGGTCTTGGAATGTATCCCCTGCAGAAAAGGGGGGACTGCTGTACAAACTATATGCTTGACACTGATCTGAGCACCTACATGTATTATCTCCTGACACTCTTAGAACAACCTCAAGTCAGGGACACCATGGAAGAGATCCCTCCACCCAGAGAGACCCGCCCCACCACTGTACAGTGGATGGGAAGGGCACAGGGTGGGGACTTAAGTGTGTTGGCGATAAGATCAACTTGTGGTTCTGAATCTTGGGCAGGGGTAATGGGAGGGAAGTTTTGCTCTCATGAGTCAAAGGCAACCTTTGTATAAATGTCACAATACCAATGGGTTCAATTCTTTTTTTTCTTCTTGCTTCATGAACTTTATTATTTTTCAAAATTTTTTATTTGTCCTTTTTAGTTACACGCGAGTCTCTCAGTAGAATGTATTTTGACATATCATACATACATGGAGTATACTTCCCATTCTTGTGGTTGTACATGATGTGGAATTTCACTGGTCATGTACTCATATATGAACATAGGAAAGTTGTGTCCGATTCATTCTTCCCTTCTACTGTGTTTCCCATTCCCACTACCCCTCCATTCCATTCCCCCCCACCCACCGCCCCACATTCCAATCCAGTGAACCTCTATTCCTTTGATTTTTTGGGATTGTCTTATTTTACTTATCATGATAATCTCCCGTTCCATTCATTTACTGGCAAATGCCATAATTTCATTCTTCTTTATGGCTGAGTAATATTCTGGTGGATTCAATTCTAAGATTACCATTCACTGGAGTCATGGGTGGTCTATTAACTTGGAGATGATTAGTAAGGTGGACCCTGGCATCACATGGATAATGTGATGGTCAGGGAAGGAACTAAGGGAGATATCTAGAGAAAGTTCCTTTACCATTTACCTATTAATAAGTTCCCCATGTGCCAAGCAGTATACTAGGCACCGGGAAGGAATTGATGAGCACATTTGACATGGCTCCTTCCCTCAGGAAGCTTACTATTTAGTGGAAGGAGATGAGCAATGAAGTAGCATGGATGATGCCATGTCTGATGGGCAAGAGGGAAACAGGATGCTTCAGGAGCACAGGGCAGTGTGATACCTAAACCCAGTGGAAGGGCATGGCATCACTTTCTACAGGAGGACATCTCTCAGCTAAAACCTAGACTCCATCCCCCGCCCCCCCAGGCCACCTTCTTTATCTTTCCTGGCTCTAGGAATACATCTAGATTTCAGAAACAACATTTGAACCAAGATCAAAGCCAAGTCCAACATGACAATGGGAGGTGCCCACAGTCTTGCCCCCCTTTCTTTATTTTTCTAAGTCAAACAGATAACCTTGACTGCTCTGTTACCTGGCCAGCTGCATGTTTTCCTCTGAAGGATGGAACCCAAGCTGTGGCCTTGGCCATTCCTAGGTACTGATAAAGTTGTCTAGATTAAACAATGAGAGAGCAAACATGTAGAAACTATCCCTGCTCCTGAATTTCCATGAACTCTATGACCCAACCCTCTTTCATGGATCTGCCTGCATAAAACATGTCCTTTTCTTGATTTTCATCTAGAGGATGCTGATACCCTCTATAATAAATGCTTTAGATAAGATCACCCTGGCATTTAGTGCATTATTTTTCCTTTGGAACCCCAACCAGCTCTATCTTGGGATGATTTGGGATAGTACCTGGCAGCAATTCCCCTGTCATTACTTTAGGTGAAACTCCAGCTCTGAGTTTGGCTGGATAGAATAACTGAAAAATAAATCATTCCCTCTCCTATTCACAGGTCATTCACACTCTCCAAGTACACATGTCCATTTTTCCATTGTCTCAAGTCAGAGGCCAACAGCCCCATGACCTCCCTGCTCCTGTGTGCATCTGGATGGGACAAGGAGTGCTCTGGGCTTGGCTGCTGGGGCCCCAAGACCAAGACCAAGCTCTTCAAGATCTGCAGGAATCTCGCCAGCCTCAGAGGAACATTCCCCGAGATGCTGTTATCCCACCTGGACAGTAGGCTGTGAAAGTCAAAGGAGGTAGTCTGGGGATCTGTGAGGCATCTCAGGGCAGGAATGTCCATCAGGGGGCATCATCCATCCCTTTATAGCTAGACAGCAAACTCAAATGATAACTTATTAATGATGAAGAAACTGAGACCCAAAGAAGGATCAGACAGAGCCAGGACTCAACTGCGAGCTCTCAAGACTTCAGGTGTTGAGCTTGTCAGAGACTCCCTAAGTCTCCCCCCCACTTCTCCCAGAGTTCCACAATCAGATGAGGATGGATCTCCTTCAAGGCTCGGTAGAGCTGGTCTTTGCAGGCCCAGTCCCAGGACCGGCTGAAGCTAAAGAGCTTGCGCATCTGGCCCGGCTTGGTGGGCTCTGCCCGTACCTTCTCATACTGTTCTTCGCTCAGTACCTGTCCATGCAGCTTGTCCAAGACAGGGTCCACAGATGTCACTCGGGCCACCAGCTGTTCCCGATGCCGGTCCACAAAGTGCAGTGAGCCCAAGGTATCTGGGGAGTAAAGGTGAGGCTGGCAATGAGCAAGGAAAGGCTCCCACCGTAAGCTCTACCCCTGATCCCACAGTTCTGGCTCTTGTCACTTATCTCATCTGCATCTCTGGCTTCATATTCCCTCTGGAAAGGCATTGGACACCAGCAAGGCACCTCAGCCCTTCCTCATGCCAGCATCTAGCCTGGCATTCTGATGGAGTGGGGAAGAAGGATTCCTGATGGGTCATTGTGGCAGAGGGTGGGGGTGCTAGGGCCTCCATGGGCAGGAGCAAGGTGGATGGGGAGGAACTCTGCCCTGGGCATGCATCACTCTTTAATCAGATCCCTGCTGAGGCTTGCAAAGAGAAGTTCCTCCAAGACCAGACAGTACACCCTAGGGCTATACCTGGCTCCTGTGGTCTCTGACAGTTGTTACTGACCTTTGGTGACTGGAGGGATCGGAGTGGCTGCAGGTCTGAGGTCTCCTGGAGGAAAAGAGAGATGTAGAAGCATTCGTAAAGGTTATAAATATGTATGGCACACCTTGAGACTCCCCACTTCTGAGATTCTTTGATTCTGAGAACAAGCTACAGACCAATTGGGGTAGAATCTGGAAAAAGTCCTGGAGGGCTTTTAGGGATTATCTAGATGAATCCCTTCCTTAGGCAGACAGGGAAACTGACTCAGAGGGGGATAATCATGGACTAATAAAGAGAGAAATTATCTGAATGAGCAATAGCAATTTCTCCCTCAATGTCTCAGACTCAAGGTTTTATCCTGTCTTGGCCAGCACTGAATCTGTGATGGAGAACTAGCCAAGTCCCTTGCCATATAGCTTAAACTATTTGACATCTTATTCTGAGCGAAAACACTCTCTTTGTACTTGTTTGATCTTCCATGCACACAGACCGAATATGTGTGTTCTGAATTAGGATGTCAGAATCAAGAACAAGCAAAACCTTTGCACATGGGAATAATGAGTGAATTTTAATAGGAAAGTCAGTGGCAGAGGCAGCAGCAAAACAGCAGCAAATGAAGTGGCTTAAATAATTAATTCCATAGAGGGGAAGGGGCAGTTCACATCAGTTTACATGAATGAGGTCTGAGAGTTTGAGCAGACCCTAAATTCAGGGGACCCAAAGGGTAGGGAAGTGAGTACAAGGACCCAGGCTGTGGTACTGGGGGCACTGGGTCCATTTGTATGCTGCGGTGGGTTTTAGGGGATGGTGTTCCTCATACTCAATTTTGACTCAGAAATCTTGGAGTCAATCCTGACTCATGCACAAACTGGAGCATCTATTGAGAAAGGTGACAGGGAGACCCAGGATTAAAAACCAAAGTATAAGAAGAATGATAGAGGGAACTGGAGATGTTTAGCTTGCATAAGGGTAGACATAAGGAGGCCGTGAATTCAGTCTTCCAGTATCTGAAGACATTTCCCTGGGGAGGGAGGTAGACTTCTGTGAGCTTCAAGGGACGGAAGTAAGATAGGAGAAAGAGGTTGGCTTAACATGAGAAAGAAGAAGAATATTGCTACTATTTATTAAGGATCACGGCTTGAGGCATGGGCAGACAACATTTTATTTAGTCTTTCCAACAATCCTACTAGTTGGTCATTTTGATCCTCATTTTACAGATGAAGAATCCCAGACTCAAACAAGTTCAGTAATTTCCCAAGGTTATCCAGCAAGTAAATGCTGGGGTGGGATTCAAACCAGGTCTGAGGCTGGGGCTGGTTATTTCTCCCGCTGTAGTTGTACCCAAGCCAAGGCTGAGTCCAGCCTATCCCCTTTCCACCATGCTGTGGAGCCTGTGTGTCAGTCCAGGTGGTGCCATCACCATTGTTTGACAGCTGACAAGGGCTGGTTGTCCCTAAAAGTACTGATTATGGGATTTTGGTTTTGGGGGGCGTTGGTGCTGGGCTAAGAAACTATAAGTTTTCTTTACTCCTGAAAGTTCATTATTTGATTTTCTCTTGTGTATTTTGAAAATACTGACTGATCTTGGTCTATATAATGTTGGTGCAAGGTTGGCAAAAGTGGTTTAATCCATCAATGGCAGAACCGTCTAGTGCTTTCTCTCTCTCATTTCATATCCAAGCTATCATGAGGAACTCTGTCAAAAGCCCAGTGGATGTCAAAATACTGTTTCAAAAGCAGTGTGGAGCCCGGTGTGGTGGCATATGACTGCAATCCCAGTGACTCCTGAGGCTGAGACAGGAGAGTTGCAAGTAGGAGGCTAGCTTCAGCAGTGTAGCCAGATCCTAACCAACTTAGCAAGACCCTGTCTCAAAATAAAAAATAAAAAAGGACTGGGAATGTGGCTTAGTAGTATATCGCCTCTGGGTTCAATCCCAGTATCAAAATCAAACAAACAAACATAGAAATAAACCCCCCCCCCCCAGTGTGGAGACACAACAGTATACTGGAGAGAAAATGGGGCTTAACTAATCTCCAGGATATATAAATAACTCAAAAAAAAAATCCCTCCAAAACAACCAATCAATAAATGAGCTAAGGAGCTAAAAAGACATTTCTCAGAAGAAGATATACAACTGATCAATAAATATACGAAAAAATGTTTAACATCTATAGTAATTAGAGAAATAAAAATCAAAACTACTCTAAGATTTCATTTCACACCAAACAGAATGGCAGTTATCAAGAATACAAACAACAGTTAAGTGTTGGTGAGGATGCGGGGGGAAAAGGTACACTCATACATTGCTGATGGGACTGCAAATTGTTGCAACCAATATGGAAAGCATTATGGAGATTCCTTGGAAAAGAGAAGTTATGTAAGAGATGATATAACTGGAATTTAAGTTATGTAACAGATGATATAACTGGAATTTAAGTCCTTTGGGTATAAACCAAGGAGTGAGATAGCTGGTTTGATCCAGCTATCTCACTCCTTGGTTTATACCCAAAGGACTTAAAAATCAGCATACTATAGTAACGCAGCCACATCAATGTTTATAGCAGCTCAATTCACAATAACTAAACTGTGGAACCAACCTAGATGCCCTTCAGTAGATGAATGGGTTAAGAAACTATGGTGTATATACACAATGAAATATTAGTCAGCATTGAAAGAGAATAAAATTATGGCATTTTGCAGGTAAATGGATGGAGTTGAAGAATATCATGCTAAGGGAAGAAAGCCAATCCCAAAAAACCAAAGGCCAATTGTTCTCTCTGATAAGTGGAAGCTGATACATAATAGGGGAGAGGCATGAAAAACATGGAGGAACTTTAGATAGGGCAAAGGGGAGGGAGAGAAGGGGAGGTGGCATGGGAGCAGTAAAGATGGTGGATTTAGATGGACATCATTACCCTAGGTATATGTATCACTGCACATATGGTGTGATGCTACATTGTGTACAACCAGAGAAATGAAAAGCTGTGCTGCAATTGCATACAATGAATCAAAATGCATTCTGCTGTCATACATACCTAATTAGAATAAATAAATAAATTAATTAAAAAAAAAGAAAATGGGTGCTTAAAGTTATATGGACTTGAGTTTAAATTCCAGTTATATCATCTGTTACATAACTTGAAAAAGCCACAAAATTTCTCTGGGCTATTCTCCTTAATGAATTATGAACTCCCCTCCCCCCCCCCCCCCCCCACTGATCTTCTTTCCCCCACTTCTGAGCTGTCTAGACTTGTCCTGGTTTTACCTGGTTTCAGCAGGGCCTTCCATACTACAGTTCCACCTTTCTTGTTTTTGATTTGCAGCTTGATCCCTGACCCCAAGTGGCCAATGTAGAACTCAGAGAAAAGCTGAGGTTCTCTGGGGCTCCGATAGCAGAGCTCCAATTCCTGAGGAGACAAAGAGTTGCCATGTGAGAAGCCACTATTCATCCTGCAAATAAGGTCTTTCCTTACCTGATACCTTCCTGGCCCGGCCCAACCCCATTAAGGATACTGATTATCTCTTTTACTGCATTCTCTGTGGGGAATCACTCTGAATGACCCACACCTTCCTTCCTGAAGCAAGAGGCTCTGATGGATCACTACATTTCATAGTGACTTGGGCATTGTCCCGGTTCAGGAAGTTGAGGGCGTATCTTCAGATGTGGGCATGTCACCCATGAGGTTGACTTACATTCATCTATTCCTTTGTAATATTACCCCTTTGCCCTGTTTGGGATAGAATGTTCCATGAAATGCCCTTTGTGTGTCCCCTTCTCTTGCTTTGTCCTTCCTTCCTTCCTTCCTTCCTTCCTTCCTTCCTTCCTTCCTTCCTTCCTTCCTTCTTTCCTTCCTTCCTTCTTTCCCTCCCTCCCTCCTTCCTTCCTTCCTTCCTTTCTTCCTTCAGTACTGGGGATTAAACCCAGGGGCACTCTATCAATGATTTACATCCCCAGCCCTTTTTAAAAACCATTTTATTGTGAACTTGCAATCCTCCTGGATTATAAGCATGTACCACTATGCCTGGATATAATTGCTTTCTTTAGATTGCCCTCCTAGAGATAAGATTTATTGAGATGCTCAATCATAGAATTCTCCTGCTTCCTGATAATATCCAATCTAAAGTAAATCTGTTTCCTTAGAAATTTCCTCAAATTATTCAACTGAGGCCCAGATGCTATGTTAGTTTCTTTCTTTCTTTTCTTTTTCTTTTTAAGTTGTCAATGGACCTTTTATTTTATTTATTTATATGTGGTGCTGAGGACTGAACCCAGTGCCTCACACATGCCAGGCAAGCGCTCTACCACTGAGCCACAACCCCAGCCCATATGGTAGCTTCTTTTCAACATTCTTTTACTGAAATGCCCTATGATTTCCCATGGTGTGTATTCTCCTGCTGCAGTAAGTAATAAACCCAGAGTGTTTGATTACAGGTGTGTTCCTGGTGCATTTTGGCCGGAAGGCATTGATACCCTGTAGTCCAAATACTTCCCAGTGCCCTCAGGTTGAACCCCATCATCCTCCCCATCCTGAATGTGATCCTTCCTCCCTTAATTTCCTTTCTTTCAATCTTTGAAGCATTCTTACTCACCCTGAATCCCACTTGTTTTCTGCCCAATCTCAATTTACCTAGTCCCTGGGAGAGCCCTGAGACCTGCCCCCATACACTCTCCTAAACATGACTTCTGACTCACTGAGGGGCAAACATCCGGATTGCTCACCTTGGGGATGATTTCCAGCTTCCTTGAAGCAGACACAGTATAGCGGGATCCCAGGTAAAGGGGGGTCACTGGGGGTGGCTTATGTATTCGCACAAATTGGAACTTCTTTTCTTCATCATCTATGGCCTGAGGGATATACAGAAAATTGGGTAAGGGAGATCTGCCCTACAGAATCTGGTCTGAATACGGTGAGAATGGTGTATGGGTATGTCAGTGGGTTTGTGTTGGGGACCACACCACCTCTGCCTCCCTCTTCTGCAGAGTACTGTCACGTAGATAGCCCCAAGCTTGGCCTCTGCTATGTTCAGGGTAGAAAAGAGGTCATTGTGAGAGAAGAAGGGAGAATAGAGAAAGGAGACAATTTGGCTATCCTTTTGACTCTTAGAAACAGGTTGCAAAAGGTTATCTAGAGGTGAGTAGTGGAGCAGTGAACCCAGTTTGGGGGGACTTGAGTGTCAGAAGACTAGTCCACCCTGAGCAGAGGGTAAGATTATTCCCCATTAAGGTTCCTTCAAGAGTCCCATCCTTATTCCCAGTTGAGGATCCCTCTAGGTGTCTCTCTGGCTGCATCTCATGGTCAATGTCAGCCCACCCTGGCCCTATCTTTTTGGTTCTTAGCCTCACCTTCTGAATGGAGCAGTCACTAGGGATCAGGTAGAGGTGGAAGGAGGTGATCTCCTTGGGATGGAGTTGATGGTACAGCAGTGTGGTGGAGGTGATGGGGATGAAGCACAGGGCGGTGGGGATCATTCTCAGCAAGATTCCCATCGGGGAGAAGCTGGGGTCCTCCAGGACTGCATAGTGTGGCTCCACCCTGCTTGGCTTCTCCAGGAGCATCCCTTCCTCTTTAAAGTGGGCCACATGGAACAGGGAGATGTCCACATGCCCCTCTGTCAAAGAACGGATTTGAGAGGTGTGGATTCAGTGTCCTCACAAGGTCAGGCTTGGCTGAGGTAGAAGGATATCGGGGTTTTCGCTCAGAGATCATCCTCGGGAAAACCTAAAGCTGTGGTCTGAATGTTTGGGTCCTCCAAAATTCACACGTTTAGATCCTAACCCCCAAGGTGATGGCACCAGAAGTATTTGGGAGGTGAGGAGGTCATGAAAGTAGAACCTTCATGAATAGAATTAGCGCCCTTGTAAAAGAGACCCCAGGGATCCCTCTATCCTGGGAAGACACAACTAGAAGATTCTATCCAATGAAGAAGAGGGCCCTTGCTAGTCACTGAATCTAAGTGCACCTTGATCTTGAACTTCTTAGCCTCCAGATCTGTGAGAAACAAATTTATTTTTTATACACTATTGAGTGAATAATATTTTACTAGAGCAGCCCAAATGGACCAAGACACCCAGAAAAGGGAAGAGGGAGCATGTCTGGGCAGTGGGGGAAGGTGGCTTCAGTGGCCATGGGCAATACTGTCTCTAGGGTGAGAGTACCACAGGAACCCCAACGGCTGAGCTTCTAAACTCAGACACGGGTCCAGCTCCTGGCCCTGGAGATGGAACGGATACTGAAACTGTGGTTTCCTGTGCTAGTGTGGATTCTGTAACTGAATGTTGAGTGTTTTTGTTGTTGTTGTTGTTGATGATGATGATGATGATGATGATGATGACCTAGAACCACTCCTAACAGCCTACGACTCAGAAGACAACAGGCATTTCAAATAAGATGGAAGTGATCTGTTCCATACAAACAGCTGTTTGCCATTTAATTCCTGGCTTGAGTTTAACCTGTAATGAATTAACCCACAACTTAAGTGTATATTTCAAAGAAGAAATTTACATAATACATCACTCTTCTGTTGAGTGATGCTGGCAGGTTTGACTCTAGGCAGGTAGAGAGTAAGAAGGAGGATGTGGTGGTGGGAAAATGGAGTGACCAAGGGCAGCCTACCTTGTTTATCTGTTTAGCTACCATTCAGACTATTATTTTGGGGCCGGGTGCAGAAGTGCATGCCTGTAATCCCAGGGGCTCAGAAGGCAGAGACGAAGGATTATGAGTTTAAAGCCAGCCTCAGAAATGGCGAGGTGCTAAGCAATTGAGACTCTGTCTCTAAATAAAATACAAAATAGGGCTGGGGATGTGGCTCAGTGGTTGAGGGTCCCTGAGTTCAATCCCTGGTTACCTCTCCCCCCAAACACACACATGCACACACACAAAACCAAAACAAAAAAAAAATCCCTACTATTTTGGGAAGAACCACAAAACACAAAAACAAAAACAAAAAATCCCTACTATTTTGGGAAGAACCCCTTTCTCTACTGTTGGGTGGGTATTGGCAGGAGATAAACTGAGACTCCCACCCCGGAAGCAGCTACTCCTTGGCAGCTATGACACAAGTATGTGACCAAGACTTAAAAGGGTGATCCTAATCAGGACCTAGAGTCTAGAGGGGTGAATTTCAGATGAAGAGATGGCTGGAAATAATTTTGGCAGTTGCAGTGGGGTCAAGAGTCCAATGGTCCCATGGCAGGAGGATCCCACAGGGACTGTGACTGCAGTAGATATTGCTTTATATTTTCTTGGCGTGACCTTGGCTGTGTCCTTGGTTTCTTACCATCATTGGTTCACTGACTTTTCCCACCTCTTAGACTTGTCGCATGACCTTTTGTTAAGAATATGGCTACTCAAGAATATTCTAATATATTCCTTTACTTCCTAAACAAATCAGAATTTGTTTCTTTGATTGTAATCTCTGACTAGTTTACCAAGTAGGGATGTTGAAGCCATAAGAGACAGCTCAAGCGATGAAGGCTGGGCATGGGAGAGACACTGGCTTAGAGATCAAGAGTTCGGGCTTCACCTCTATGTTGTCTAGCAACCACTGCAATGCAGGTGGCATCTGGGCAGCAAGCCATCCATCTAGCTGGACAAGGTCCTTAGTGAGGCATCAATCAGAACATTACCGAATGATATTAATTCTGGAAGGGGCCATGAGGACCATTACTTAAGACAAAGCACTTATTAATTGCATTTTTGGATGAAAAATAATGTCACAGTGGTGGACATCTTAAAAAATTCAAGAATTCACCTATGAATTTCACCAATCAAGCAACACAGCTATTATGATCATTGTTCCCTTTTCTGTTATAGCTGTTCCTTGCAGCAACACTTTTTCCACATATCCATCCTAGTCCAGGTAGCTTTTTCTCACACTGGTTTAAATTGTTGCAAGCATCAACAATTTAATCTTTTTTCTAACCACAGCATGGGATCCCTGCCAGTGGATGCCTCTCTCTGTAATTCTCCATCTGCATCTGGTTGCAGTGTTGAGTTTGCTTCCAGGTTTTCACCATGATGAATAGTACTGCAGTACACACATTTCTGCAGAGAGCTTTTCTATTTCCTTTGGGTAATTGACTTGGAATCAATCAGTACCAAAGGATGAGAAAAGGACATGAAAGCATATGGCCTTCCCCTGGTCTCCCAAATTGCTTTTCTAAGGGGTGGTACTGCTTGCTTGGCACTGTCATCGGTGACACTAGGTGAATGGGCTCACCTGGACCTCCACAGTACCAAAATGTCTGTAATCCTGGGAAGGAAGCCCTTTTCCCAAGGTCCCACAGCCAGCCACAGCCCTAGTGACAAATTCTGACATTCTGACCATAGTCTGTGGCACTTACAGATGCTCTAATTTTGACTGAATTCTGGAAGGTGCTCTGATTCTCCGGCTTACTTTCTTGCTACAGTATCCTGAGAAGTTTTCTGGAATGCAGAAGTTTCAGTGCTAAGATCAAGAAGGTCCTGGGCCATCTAAGATGATTTGGTCAATTCTCTTTAATACATATTTTGTCCCTCCCACAGACTGTAGCAGAATTTCCTTCTCCCAACTTCCTGACCAACAGTGTGTTCGTCTGATAGACTAGAGGGAGAAGATTGTGGTTTGAAGGGGAAGAAGCTTGAGGGATGACTGGGGCGAGTATCATTGGCAGGAAGACCAAGGCCTTCAGCCTGGAGCTGCCTTTGGCTGGTCTCATTAGACATATTCAGAATAAGCCATCAGAGGTAAGAGTGTTTCTGTTGCAAGGCCTGGGACCAAGGCCTTCTATTTACTTATGGATGCTCCATGGATGTAGTTGGGAACTGGGATACATAAACACTGCAGTGCTGGAGCTTGTGGTCCAATAAGGAAGATAGACAGCGAATAGATCACTGTCTAAGGATCACAAGTGCTCTGTCAGGTGAAGCACCATGTTACCCTCCTTTTCCCCAGCCTCATGCCCAGCAATTGTCTTGGTCACTGCTGCTCCCATTCTCTAGGTGGATCTTACTTCTGTGGGACCTGCCCTTGGGCCTGTGACCTGATGCCACCCTGGCCCTGTCCTTTGCTGAGAGTTGTCCACACCTTCCAGACTCAGGTGAGCCATTGACTTTTCTGCTCAAAGAGGGACAGTGGGATTCATACATGAAGACTGTCCATCAGAGCGGTTAAATGATAAGGATTGCCTGAACTTGACTCCTAGCAACGTAGCTCAGAGCAAACTACAAAACATCCCCATACGTCATCTGAAAAGTGCAACCAAGAACAGTCGACCTCCTATTGTGGTTATGAAGATTGAGTGAGTTTGTGTCTTAGGGTAGCAGGGACTTCCTTATTATCATGGAAATGCAGCTTGACCAACTATATCATCACTCGACTCTTGTGGTTCTTTCCTCAAACAACTTGGCTCAGTCCTCCTGGGAACCCTTGGGGTCTGGGAAGGAAAAAGTAGTAAGATCTTTTGAAGATGCATTTTGCTGAACCTGAGTAGATCTGGGGCTCTCTACTGCTGTACAATCAGAAGGTATTGGTCCCAGAGAGCCAATATGGGTCCCAGCAATCTAATCTGGGTGAGCTCCTTGGATGGGTGGATAAAAGGAGTGAGTACAGTAAACATGAGGGACTTCACCTTGCCAGAGGGCAGGCCATGAGGAGAACAGGGGTCTGTGTGCCCTGTTTGTTTCATTTATTTATTTTGTTGGTACAAGGGATGGAACCCAGGGATGCTTTACCACTGAGGCGCATCCCTAGCACTTTTATTTTTTGAGACATGGCTTTGTTTAGTTGCTTAGGGTGGCTTTGAACTCGTAATCCTCCTGCCTCAACCTCCTGAGCTGCTGAGATTACAGGCATGCACCTCTGTAGTAATCTTATCTCTTGGAGCATGTTATATACACTTTTTCTCTGTTCTATTTCTGATAATTTCAGTAACTGAAGCATTTAAAGGGCTTATCTGGTACCTGGTGGTTCCTCTGGCTCTTACTTGTGGTGGTTGTTAATGATAGTGAGATTTTTTTTTACCATGAGGCTATAGTATTTGGCACTTTATTTGTAGGAAGTCTTTCGAGGTGACTGAGGACAGAAGACTTTATAACTACTGTCTTCTTTTAGGAAGTCCCTCTTCCATGACTCCAGCTCTCCAGTGGAACTGGACAACTCTGTCTTCTCCCTGCCTACAGGGTTGTAATGGCTTACCATTGTTGATAGGCCCTGGCTACTAAATATTCCCTGTTAGTTCACTTTGCCTTACTTTGACATAATTGTGTCTTTAAAAATCTCCTTGAAAATCTCAACTGAGCATCTCACCTGTCTCTTGCTGGAACCCTGAGTGGTACAATCTCTGTCCACAAGCCCCTGCCCTAGGGCTGCATCCAGTAGGTGTTCGAGGAGTAAAGAACACTTAACATTAATATGCTAGTTAATATTGTGATTTAGGGTTGATCATTTTTTATTTAGGGAAACTTTCAGGTAAGCTTAGGTAAAAATAATTATAGCTGGGGTTGTGGCTCAGTGGTAGAGTGCTCACCTAGCATGCATGAGGCACTGGGTTCGATCCCCAGCACCACATAAATGGGTAAAATAAAGATATTGTGTCCATCTAAAACTAAAAAATAAATATTAAAAAAATATTTATAGGGGCTGGGGTTGTGGCTCAGCGGTAGAGCACTAGCTTAGCACGTGTGAGGCCCTGGGTTTGATCCTCAGCACCATATAAAAATAAATAAAATAAAGGTATGTGTCCAACTACAACTGAAAAAAATTAAAAAAAAATTCTTAAAAAAATAATTATAAGGCTGAGAGACATATACTTAAAAAAATATCTATCTATCTATCTATCTCCAGGCAAGAATGGAATGAGGGAAAACCTCAGTCTCTGCCTCTGTAACCTTACTCTCTTCCTTAGTAAGGAAGACACAAGCTCCTTTCTCATCATCCATTATTCTATATTCTCAGGCCCATTGTTACCACCCTCCTCCTTAATCTGCCCTCATTTACCTTGGAGGGCCACAAAGTGAGGCAGGTACACAGCGGCCACAGCTCCCTGTTCAGCTTTGATGTCAAACAGAGGCCCTGCCACCATCCAGCTCTGCGGTGGGATAGTGTTGCCCAGGAACTGGTCCCACACACAGAACTCAATCTTGATGGTCACCGCCCTTCTCACCACAAAGGTGAGACCCGTGTTGGACCAACAGTAGGAGCCAGCCATGGGGAAATGAACTCTAGGAAGAAGAGGGAGATGATACTAAATGACACAAACTCCTCAAACACCTACTGGAAGCAGCCCTGGGGCAGGGGCTTGTGGACAGAGCGGAGCAGCTATAACCTCAGACTGTAAATAGGAATAATAGGGATGTGAGTGATGAGTCATCTAATATACGTCAGCATAGAGGCCTGGGAGCCCTTAGCTATTTCTATTACCATGACAACCATGATGAAATGAGCAAGCGTTCTTATTATTAAAGGACCTATCCACCAGTAGTTAATAGCAATCTACATACTGATATTAACGATAACCCTTGGAGCTAAAAACAATGCTTTTTTAGAGATCTTAAGAGATTTTCTCTTGGTTTTCCAGGTGGCACATGGTCGGGTAGACAGATGCCACTTTCTGTGAATGCAAGTTGGGAGTGACACTATCTCCCATCAGCTGAGAGACATATACTTTGACAGTGTTTGGTGAGTGGTAATGTGTTATATAAGAGATCATGATTTTGATTATAGGCATTTATGACTCATGAGACTACAAATGCTTGGAGGGCAGGGTTACCATATTCATCTTAGGGTTCCCCCTTTCCAGTAGGTAATTATCACATAGTATAGCTATTAATACAATGGAAGCACATAGATTAAAGGAGAGTTAAGGGACATAACCAAATATAACGAGCAGATCTTGTTTGGATCACCGGCAAGCATGCATTTTAGATAACCGAGCCAATTAGAATACAGTCTGGGTGTTAGATGACATAAACTCATGTCAGCTTTGTTAGATGTCATAATGGCATGGTGGTTATAGAAGAAAAAGTATTTTTATTTTCTGGGTATGCCAAATGAAATACTTAAGGATAAAATAACCCAATGTCTTGAATTTAAAATATTGTAACAGGGGGCTGTGGTTGTAGCTCAGTGGTAGGTAGAGTGCTTGCCTAGCATGTGTGAGGCCCTGGGTTCGATTCTCAGCACCAGATAAAAATAAATAAATAGAGGTCCATCAACAACTAATAAGATTGCTTTGCATGCCCAAGGCCCTGGGTTCAATCCCCAGCATCACCAAAAAATAAATAAATAAATAAATAAATAAATAAAAAAAAATAAAAAGCAACCAATAAGAATATTAAAAAATAAAATATTGTAACAATAATGAAAAAGGATAAAAGAGAATAATTGAATTTGGCAAAATGGCGGCTGAAATTGGGCAATGGGATGTGGAAGTTCCTTGTACTATTTTTGTGTATGGTTGAAACTTTTCATAATAAAACATATTTTTTTCCCATAATAAAAAGCACAAAACCAGGATCTTAGTCCTGTCCCTTCCTGCTGATTTGGTAAGGGGAGAGTTCCCAGGGGGAATGGGGAAGAGAAGGCCAGCCTGAGACAGGCAGAGACCCCTCACTCACCGGTACAAGCTCTTCTCTTTGTCTACCATCTCAGTCGCCACAGGCCCTGTGGGGCCCCAGAAGTTATCTTCAGTCCCCAGAAGCTCCATGTGCAAGTCCTCATTAGAGGCATGAGAAGACAGATGGAAGGGTTCCACTTGTGCTACTTGTGGGGAGCTTTCCTCTGGAATAGGCAGGACAGTGGTCAGCTGTATGTTCTCTTGTCTGTTCTCCCCAGCCCCCTACAGCAGGCTTTCCTGGGGCTGTCCACTATCTGAGAATATCCCCCCACTGACCCTTGACCCAGCCTCTGTCCACCTCCCCTTTCCCACTGGATCAGATGTGTCACTCTGCTGGGCGCGGTGGGCACACCTGTAATCCCAGCAGCTCGGGAGGCTGAGATAGGAGGATCACAAGTTCAAAACCAGCCTCAGCAACCATTAGGTGCTAAGCAACTCAGTGAGACCCTATCTCTAAATAAAATACAAAATTGGGCTGGGAATGTGGCTCAGTGGCTGAGTGCCCCCTAGGTTCAATCTTTGGTACCAAAACAACAACAACAGCAGCAACAACAACAAAAATCCCAGAGGTGTCACTGTTTTCAGCATGCCCTAGGTAGACAGATCAAAAGATGGATGGGCAGTGATGGAGAGGTGATTCTTTGAACTCAGGAGCCCAGAATGGGGGACAAGGCCTTGCTTCAGAGTCTGATGCATGCCATAGACATTGGAGAGGGGCAGCAGCAGCCCCCAAATCTGGGAGAGAGGGAAACAGAAATTCGTCCAGGTTCTTGCAAGAATATCTTGCATGAGGCAGGACCCTTCTAGATGGGGAACCCCATCCTACTCCAGAGTTAGGGAGATGGAGATCATCCCATATCTTACAGGTACCCACTCCATCATGATGCTCCCAGTCCAGTCCCTTCAAATACCTGATTGTGGTCTCTGCCGCTTGAGTGAGGACATGTTCTCACCCATCTGTCCTTCATCCGGGTCCCCAATAGGGATCATCACACTTGGCTTCCTGCTAGAGATGTTCATTCTCCCTCAGATCTTGGGGAAAGCTAGGGTTGTCTATATGACATCCCCACTTGAAATTCAACTTATCTAAATTCAAATCCAGTCCCATACTGCTTCTATAGTCCCTGTCTCAGTGAATGGTCTCCATCCACACATGCATCCATGCTAGAACTGGAGCATCATCCTGACTCCTTCCTCCCTGCTGTGGTTTGATATGTCCCCAAAAGATCATGCATAAGAAAGTTAATCCCCTATGCAATGGTATTGGGAGGTGGGAGCTTTTTAAGCATGATGAGGTTAGGAGGGCAGTGCTCTCATCAGTAGGTTGATGTCATCATCACAGGGGGTGGATTTGTTGAGGCTGAAGTGGGTTTGTTATAAAAGCAAGTTCAGCCTCATTTTTTCTCTCTCACATGTAGTCTCTGGCCCTTCTGCCTTCTGCCATGGATGATGCAGAGAGAAGGGCCTTTCCAGATGCAAGTTTCTCCACCTTGGACTTCCCAGCCTTGAGAACTGTAAGAAACAATCTCTGTTCTTTATAGAGCACCAAGTCTCAGATATCCTGTTATGGCAGCACAAAAGAAAGTAAGACATTTGCCCACAGCAGACCACCTTGATAATACCTCCCAGTAGCTCTCCTTTCTGTTCTCCATTCTCTGCCCCCAGCACCTCTATTCTAGTCCCAGGGCCTTGCATCTGTGGCCTGAACCACTACAGCATCCCACCAAAGGTTTCCCTGCTTTTGCTCTGGATCTCTCTCCAGTGCATTTTCTGCACAGTAGCTGATATTAAAATATGCATCTAACATATCATTTTACTGTGAAAGTCCTGTAATGTCTCTTTATTGCTTCTGGGGGAGGGGGCGGGGGAACGAGAAGTTCCTAAAATGGTCCAAAGGGCCTTGCTATGGCCCTTGTCTCTCTCCAACCCCATCTGGGCCATTTTATCCCTACTCACTGATCTCTAGACAGGTGGCTCTCAAACTCTGTGTGCTTAAAAATGGAACGGAGCGTTTGTTCAAACAGATTCCATTGAGGGAAACTGGCTCCACCCCAGAGATTCCAATTCAGTAGGTCTGGAGAGGGGCCTGAGAATTTGCGTTTTTGAGAAGTTCCTCCGTGATGGGGAGGCTGATGCTGCTGGTCTGTGGACAACACTTTGAGTGGCACTGTCCATATACCTGGCCTCCTGCTACTCCTCAAAGGAGCCAAGCTATATTCTGCTTCAGAGCCTCTGTCTGGAATCCTCCCCCTTCTCAGTTCAGCTGACCTTGCCCCATCTTTCAGAACTTCCCTCAGCTCCTTGGACAAGATCAAACAGGTTGGTGCTCACACCAACCCCAGGTGCAATTACACAGGCTTGTGGCAGGACTTGTACCTGTCTCTCTATTGGACTTGAGATAGAATCGAAGACATAAGAGATAGAGAAGAGTCAAAAGAAAGCAAAAGGGGACTGTCACTTTAATCTGAAAGCCTTGTGCTAAAGTTCCTCACACTTTCACATCCTAGGCCAGGATCCCTCACAGGCCTGTTACTTCCCAAACCAATTTCCCCCCCCTCCCCCCCTGAGGCCTGTCACTCCCAAATTTCTGAGAAGTCTCCAAATCTTTATTCACAATCTTAGTGTTACTGGAAATTCACTCAGGAAAATGTGCCATGTACTTTTAGAACAGATGGAGCAAAGGGAGATGTGATATTTTAAGTAACCTGTAACATAGGGAACGTTCCAAACATTATCTATTGATCAGATAATGCAGACAATGTCAAAGATCCTGAGAACAGCCAGACCACCATAAAAAATGTCATCTCCCCATACCTTCCCAAGTCCAACCCTTACAAAGTTTGCTTTTTTTTTTTTAAAGAACACAAGATCCCCAAAGTGCTTTCTCACTTAAGATAGCCCACATTCTGTCTTGAATATGTACTCCTTGCTTTTGTGAACAAATCTCTTCTTGTGCCTCTCTGACACATTGAAATTCTTTTTTTCTGATGTATGTCAAGGACCTCGTTATTCTGAGTTGAGGTCCAGGACTTCCTGTCCAGGACCTCCCTCACCCCTTCCAGTGATAGACTGAGCTCTTGGAGGTTGGACTGTGTCTTGTTTATTTTTGTGTCCTCAGATCCCCAAATAGTGCCTCATGTTCTTCTGATGAATGGATGACTCTGTGGCTTAAGCCTAGGAGCCCTTTTCTTTCCATTAATGGTGAGGCACACAGCCTCCAGGAACTTGAGGACAGAAGGATTTCACAGTCAGGTGCTGAAATGTGCCAAACTAAGAGAACATGGGGGCTACAGTGCATTCCCTGGGGTGGAGGATGGACTCTCTTGCTCTGAGGTGCTCACTCAAGTCCAGGGGATGGGTACAGTGTGGGTGGGTGGTGGGGTGGTGGTGGGGAGGGGGTGGGGGTGGTGATGGTGGTGGTGATAGGGGAGATGTGATGGTGGTCTTTCCTCCAAAGGTTTCTCAGTGTCTTTGTCTTTGTCTCCCCCTTATGGTCACTGTTTTCACTGTTCCAAATCTCCAGTCCCGGTGGCCATTCCTTATCTGTTTGTCTTTCCCACCACCCCAAGACCCTTTGTCCACCTCTTAGTTCTGGACCAGCGGCAAGGGCTCAGCCCTGGGCCTGGGTGGGTCAGAGGGAGACCTGGTTCACCCCTTACCATCTGCTGGAGATGAGCAGCCTGGGTATCTCTTCTTCCAGGGCCTTCAGCTCTTCCCTCACCTGGTCACTCAAAGGGATGTAGTCCAGCCTGCAAGCACAGGGGCGGGGTCTGGTTCTCCTGGGATTCTCCCTGTGATCCTAAGTTCCTCAAGGACCCAGCTCCTGGGTTCCACCACCTGCTAAAGGAATCTGCCACAGGTTCCCTGGAAATCAGGCTCTGAGTTGGAGGTAGAGTGAGGAGGTTTATTAGGGAGTGTTCTTGGGCCAACACCAGGACAAGGGGAGGGAGGGCAGCAGAACTGGGCAGGGGTGGAAACTGCTGTGATATAGTCTAAATGGCAGCCTTGGCTAGCTCACGGGGGTTTCTGAAGCCAGGATGAAATGATACTTTGGAAATGGGATGAGGGACTGGGAGTTTACACCCCAACATGGGTCAGTCATTGGATGCAGGCTATCCCAGGAAGGGGATGTCCTTGGGTGAGGTGGCACTCATTGGCACAGGACATCCCTGTGGCCAGCTGCCATCGCATCTCCAGTGGTGGAGGGATACGTCTTCATTCCTGAAGAGACTCTGGGCTACATTTCACAGTGTCCACCACAGAATGGCTATTCAGAGTGACCACCTAGGGCTTAGGTCTGGGGTTTCCTTCCCAGAGGCTGGAAGGACAGAGTCCTGGCGTTTCCGTTGTATTTGAAGTAGTTACTCTCTTCTCTGGGCCCCTGTGTCCTCAATCTACAACCTGGGATTTGTCACTCCTGCTTTGCTCATGGTGAGGCAGGGTGAAAAGAGCCTACATCTGCAAAAGCTGTGCATTGTCACCGTTACTGCTGTTGAACTGTTCTTTGGGGGAAGAAGATGGAGCTCTTGAAGTGAAGCTTGTCCCTGTTTACCACACCCTGGGCTCTAAGAGGGAGGATGCAGAAGCCATCTCAGAATTTCACGGAGCAAGATCTGAATCCAGATCTACCCACAGCATCAGCTCTGGAGAGACTTCTGAAAGAGCTCTGTGGGGAACCAAGGCACTAGCACCCAGGGTAGAGTTCCCCTGGTTGTAAATGGCCAGTTTTAACCACGGGAGAACCTGAATGTAAGTTCTTCATTCCCATTATCTTGCCCAACTACTCCTTTAGGTTTGGGAGTCAAGACAGAAGGCCTGGCTGAAGAAAGCCTGAAGGTACAGGCTTTCTGGACCCCTCCTGAGAGCCAGATAGAACCAGATGGCTCTAAACCGTAGTTCTCTGAGCACATGGCCCTGGCGGGGAGCTGTAGAGAAGTGTTCTGCTAGAAATGGTCTAGGGGCTGTGTTCAGTGAGGTTGAAGAAAGAGGAAATGGTGGAAAGTGTGGTGGTGGCTGCTTGGAGAAGGGCAGGTATCTCCACGGCTACAGGATGGGGACTTTGCTGGCTTGCATGACCTTATAGGGCTGGGACTCACTTCATTTCAGCTACGTAGGGCCTGCCTGGCCCTCCCTCCAGGGCTCAAGTCCCCTTTTGTTCCAGAGCCTTTCCTCATACTGTGCCTTTGCTCTTTTTTGGCCCAGTCAACTCCTATTTCTCCTTCAGGTCTCAGAGAAGCCCTCCCTGGCCCTTCAATCCAACTCCACCCTCTCCCAGCATTGCACTCTCTTAATACTCCATACTTGTACCTCATAGCACTCAACAGAGCTTGTAAATACACATTGGTGTCTTGACAGGTGGTCAATGACACTCTCTTTCCCATTGGAGTGTACGCTTTGGGAGGGCAGGGCCCATTTCTGTTTGCTCATTATTGTATCCCTAGGGCCTGGGCAGTGCCTGACACATGGGAAGCCTGCCAGGCATTGGTGTATGAGTAAATAATGGATGAAGTACTACCCTGGAATGAGGTGAACATGGGAGAGACCCTTAGAACATGCAGTCTCCCCAATAATTATCAAGTGATCATGCTCAATTCTCTTCCTGGTACCATCTTTGTTTTTATATGCAGTTCATTATAACCCAAAAGGTGGGCATGATATTTCCATTACATAGATGAAGAAACCAAGTTTTAGGCGAGATAAATGACTTATCCAACTCACACAGTATGAGTGGCACAGATGAAAAGGAGCCCAGGCCACCTGGGCTATGCATTTATCCATTTTCCTTCCCTTGTCCCATCTCTCAGCACCCCACCTCTACCCCTGTCCCTGACCAGAAAGGACCCACAGGGCTCTTACCACAGGAGTGTGAGTTGGCAGGCTGGATGCTTGAGCCCCTTGTAGAGCAGCCTCACTCCATGGTCGCCCAGGTCATTCTGTTGCAGGTCTAGCTCCAACAGTCTGGGGCTGACGCTGAGTGCAGAGGCTAGGTCCTGGCAGCAGCTGGAAGTGAGGCCACAGTTGACCAGTCTGCCGGAGAGATGCACACGGACCACTGGTCATTGTCCTGAGGACTCATTCCTTTGGGTAACTGGGGTCTGGTCTCGTTTTCTAATTATTGTGGCCCTTTGGTGTTCCCAAGTGATGTTAAAGGAACATAAAGACCTTCCTGACTTGTGGTAATCTGGGAGGTTTTAATTTTTCTTTCAGGAAAACTAATCATTAAATTATTAAATTTAATTTGCAACCCAGGAGCCATTCAGGATGCAGGCCACCTCCCTTTTATGCTCCTGTGGGAGTCACATGAAATCTGCCCATGCACTGTATCCACCTTGTATGAACAATTTACTCAGTGTCCCATTGGTGTGTCTGGGTTTAGTTGTTAACCACATTGGCTTGGCCAAATACTCAAAGTCAGTGGACACAGGATGCTCTGGTGGGTTTCAATATTAAGGGGATCCACAGTCTAGGAGAAAAACTACTGAGTTTCTAATATATGAACAGAAGTTGAGGGGGATATGATAGGTTCTACTGGAATCGAGGGCCTTTCCTATATTCTCCAGTACATATGGGTAAATATTGGGTACATATGCTGGCCCAAGCCAGGGCCAGGTCTGACATGCTGCATGCTGCTCTGAGCAGTGCTAAGCTCTAATGCCTTGTCTTATCTGTTGGATAACTCTGTATCTCTTATAGTCGAGCTGCAGGTCAAATGGAATGGACATAGGGATCCATTGGTCTGCTGCTTCTGGGCTTGAAGAAGGGCTCATATTCCATGATGTCCGGGAAAACCTGATTCTTACTGTTCATGGCCATCTTCTCCATAGGGAGAGGATGGGATGGCTCATCTGGGAGAAGCAAGGATGGAGTGGAAGGATGGTTTTACTCTGTTTTTCCAGATAAAGCCCCCTTTCCCCTTTGTAGAAGTGGGGTAGCTATAGACATTCACTGAGAAGGGGCTGGTGGTAGGTGCTTGGGATTGAGGCTTATGTGTCCTATTTAATTTTGGTAAACAATACCCATCCCCAGCTATTTGATACCAGGGATTGAACCCAGGGGTGCCTAATTGCTGAGCCACATTCCTAGACCTTTTTCATTTTTTATTTAGTTATTAAGTTATTATGTTGATTAGGGTCTTGCTAAGTTGTTGAGGCTGGTTTTGAACTTGTGATCCTCATGATTCAGCCTCCTGAGTCGCTGGGATTACAGGTGTGTGCCACTGTGCCCAGCTTCAACAATGTTCCCCTTAATTAGTACATCCTTTTTAGAAGGCAAAATTAGCAGTACATATAGTCTTTACCCAGAAATTCTCAGAGTTTAGTCTACAGATAATACACTGTGTCTCAGGATACATAGAGGAGGATATTAATCGCAGCTCTGTTTATGGTGATAAAGATTAGCGATAACCCAGATGCCTAAGGAAGTGATTAAAAAACTAATGGTGAATTCGGGTAGTGAAATTCTGTGCTGCCATTAAAAAGAATGAAGCAACTATATGTATTGATGTGGGACCATCTCTAAGATCTGCTTTTAATGATGAGTCAAGGTTCAGAAGAGCATTTGGGACCTTTTCTACAGGAAGAGGCTGTGCATGTGCAATATGTATATATAGGCTTTCTTTAGGTAATTGCTGTCTAGAGCTCCTCTGCTCTTGGTGTCTTAGTTCAACTTCTGCTGCCCTCAGCTTCCACAACTTGATCTGCTCTGCTCACAGCAGAACACTTAGGACTTATTTGCAAACCAACCTGGTAGCATGTCACTTAGTCCTTAAAGGGTCTTGGTGAAGAGGGGGCGCTTGGAAAGTGGACTACCAGGCTTTGATGTCAGACCCGGATTCAAAACCCAGTGCTACTGCTTCCCACTTATGCAGCCTTATAAAAATAATTTAACCTTTGACCCATTTTGTCTTTTGTAGATGTAGTAAGGATAAAATATTACCCTAGCCTTCTAGGGATGGGTGATCCCTGGTGTTAGAAGGAGACCCCAGTGGCTCCCCTTTCCATCCTCCCATCCCCTCTACCTCTTTGCTCAGGATTATTGAGTAGCAGAACAGGCAACAGCACCGTGAAGCAGAAGATTTGACCTTAGGAAGGTCAAATGCACGTAGGACCAAAGATGTGAACAAACATCTCTTGAGGCTCAGGCAGAAGCCAAAAGGAGACCTGATGGCAACTGTGAGACCTGAGTGCATGTGTGTGTGTGATTTTGTGCATCAGGGGGCAAGGGGCTCCAGAGAGACTAGGGAGACATGAGCAATCCACTTTTGTGCTATTACCATCATCCTCTGTAGTAGATTGTGAACTGGCCACATAAATTCTCTCCTGGTGCCCACCTTGCACCTGTGCCCCATGGTAGTGTCCTTCCATCAAGAACTAGAGTCTATTTTTTCCTCCCCTAGAATCTGGGCTTGGATATCAGGAGATCTTCTTTTACCAATGGGACAATAGCAAAGGTGACTAAGATAGGTGTTTGAGAAGGGCTTGTACACTGGGACTTGGCTTCTCTTGTTGCATGTGGAGCCCTGAGGTCACCCCCCACCCCATCTCAGCCCAGGTGTGGGTGAGCATCCTCCTGAGCCTCCACAGAACATTGAGTTTCTGCAAGCTCCTCCGTATCCCACGAAGCAGGTCCCCCCTTTCTCTGCCATTTTCTTAATCTGCCACATGGTCAGCTTCTTTCTCCACTGTCCATGTCCACCCTCACCAGGCAATATCTCTCAAAGAGGAACACTTACCGCAATCGCTGTAGCTTGCAATACCTCTGACTCAAACTCTGGAAAAGGTGCTGGGCTCCAGCATCTGTTAGCAAGTTGAAGTTCAGCTCCAGCTCAGTCAGGGTCTGGCTGGTGCTCAGCCCTATGGCAAGGTCTTTGCAGCTTTCAGCGGTGAGGCCACAGCTGGCCAACCTGTAGGAGACACACACATCCATGACCTCAAGTTTATCATCTTGTGGTTCAATGTATACCCACAAACAACCATGGAGCACCTATTGGGGCCACACTTGTGGTCCAGGTGGAGGTTTATAAGACCTCTTATCTCAGGTCCCCAGAAATGCACATGCTACGGTAGGGATAGACTTAGAAACAAATAGCAATAGGTCAGTTTTTGATCAAAACTCTACAGTGCTTTACCACATTACTCAGAGTAAAATTCAAGGTTCTTATCCTGGTCACCAGGATCCATCCTGATGATCTGGATCTTTGTCATCTCTGTCCCCATCTCTTTTAGCTCCATTGTTACTAAACTTCTCCCTGTTTCTTAAATACACCAGAGCCTTTGCACCTGCTCCTTCTTCTGCCTGGAGCAATCTGGAACAAACCAGTACCTCATGATTCATTCCTTTACAAACTTCAGATCTTTGCTCAATGGTAAGTCACCTTGATGAAGTCTTGCTCACTACTCTGCCTATTCAAGATTATACATGCACCCCCAGATTCCCCACAACTTTATTCTGCTTTGCTTTTTCTACAGCCCTTATCACACACAATGCATTTTACTTGCTATTTGACTTTTTTTGTGTTCCTTCCTCTTCATAATATAAAATCCATGTGTTTTGTCCATTTTTGTTATTAGCCACACTCCCACCCCTGGGTTAGTGCATTTCTTAAGGCTGTAGATGAATGCACAGAATAGCATCAAAAAAGGGGTAAGTCAAGGTCACTGAAGGCAGAGGAATGAGTGATTGAGAAAAGAAGGAGGATGAAGGTATGCCTGGAATGGGTGGCTCCCTAAGGTGAGGGTGGTTGTGGGGGGCACTTCTGGATGGCAGGGTGGATGTGAAATCACAGTACATTTGTTGTTTAATCTCGTTGGCATACAGATTAAGTTTGAGGATACCAAGATAGTGGTAGGTCTCGACTGTCATTATAAGATGTTTGGACTTTATTCAGTGGGCATTGATGAGCCTATGAAAGTTCTTGAGGACAGTTGTGATTTTTGTATTACTTTGGAAAGATCCCTGACAGTAAGTGGAGGGTGATAGGTGGGGCAATGCAAGAAGCAGGTGGTATAGTGGGAGAATGAACACCTGGGTCAGAGTCATGGCTGTGGGGAGATGTTTCTGGGAGACTAGATGACACTCAGTTACTCTTTAGATTTTGGGACCAGGGTTGGATATGGAGTTGAAGCTACTGCCACTTACTGAGAAAGCAGATGAGAGAGGAGACAGGGTCAGCTTCTCAGGTCCACAACTAAGTGTACTTGTCACATAGTTCCAAGTGCTTAGGAGGGCCCATGATTGGGGTTTAATTCTTGGTGGCTGCCATCTTGGATTTTTAAATATGCTTATCTTTGAATTTATGTTTTGGAAGCAAAGCTTGATGGAATAACAGAATCTTGGCTTATATATGCTCTTATCTCAAGTCAGTTCTCTCCTTCCCTGAGCTAGAAGAGTTCTTGGCTTCCTACTTCCTTGCCTCCTGGTGTCACAGGGTATCAGCTAGCCTTTTCCTCAACCCAGTGACCACTGTTGTCCACTGTCTCCAGTGTGGGACTGGATCAGGAATGGGGAGGATAAGGGTGGTGCACTTAGAACCATGGCTCATTTGGTAATTTGGTGAGAACAAGACTCACCCACTAATGATCTGGATACCGCATGCATCCTGGCAATACCCTGGTGGTGGTGGTGGGGTTCTCCCATCTGCTGTGGATTGGGTAGTAGAACCATGGGCACATACATGCTTTCTGGCTTGAGTTTTGCGCCCACTCTGGGACAAGGTGCATGGGTCTGGTGACTGCTGGGAGGGGAAACCTGGCATTTGGTGGGCTGTGTGCACATAAGTTGTGGGTGGGATCTCAAGGAGCCACTTTTGTGGTCCTCTTCATCTGCAGGGATTCTCCTTCTTCAAATCTCAACCTCTCCCCAGACCACCAAGGACATCAGGCCTCAGGCTTCATTGAAGAGGCTGAGGTTATCTGGCTAAGGGTGAAAGAGTGAACTGTATAAGGGCTCTGGAGCCAGAGAGACATTGGTTTAGGTCTCACTTTGTCAGTCACCAGTAGAAGACTATGGGCAGGTTTTATTCTCTTTGAGTTTCACTTACTTACCTATAACATGGATTTGCTAACTCTACTGTGCAAGGTGGTTGTAAAGATCTGAGAAGATAGTGTGTGCTGTGTGTTTAGGACAGTGCCTGGCAGTGTTTAAAGGATGCTGCTGTGGGACCTGAAACCCTCAGTGTCCCTCAACCTCTCTTCCTCAGCTGCCATGTTTCCACACAATCTGTCTCTGTCCCTTTGTTCCAGAGAAGCCCAAGGCTCCTCCTTCAGGTGTCTTTGATCCTATGTCCTTCTGCTCTCCTTCTGGCTTTGCTCTTTCTAGATCTCTGAGTTCTCCATCCTCTTCTCTTACAACTCCTCCTATGTTTATGTAATATGCTCTTATGTAATGCACTTTACATGAAAGTGCATTAAAGAAAAATCTCAGAATTCTTTTTTTTTTAAAATTTTTAATATTTATTTTCCAGTTATCGGCGGACACAACATCTTTGTTTGTATGTGGTGCTGAGGATCGAACCCGGGCCGCATGCATGCCAGGCGAACGCACTACCGCTTGAGTCACATCCCCAGCCCCCAGAATTCTTGATTCTAGCCCATTCAATGTATTTCAAGAAACATCCAAAAGTGACATAAATGACATAATCCTATATTTAGAAGAACCAAAAAAGGCTGTGTGCAGTGGCACACACCTGTAATTTCAGTGGCTCAGGAAGCTGAGGCAGGAGGATCATGAGTTCAAAGCTAGCCTCAGCAACTTAGTGAGTCCTTAAGCAACTCAGCGAGACCCTTTTTCTAATGAAAATATAAAAAGGGCTGGGGTTGTGACTCAATGGTTAAACACCTCTGGGTTCAATCCCTCGTTCCAAAAAGCAAACAAAAACCCTCAAAAAATTCCACCAGAAGACTTGTAGAGTTGATAAACAAATTTAGCAAAGCAGCAGATACAAGATCAACATACATAAATACATTGCTTTCCTGAACTGCGATAATGAATCAGCTGAAAAAGAAATTAGGAAAACTATATCCCATTCCCAATAATCTTAGAAAATACCTGGGAATAAATCTAACCAAGAAGGTCAAAGACCTCTATAATTAAAACTACAGAATATGAAGAAAGAAGCTGAAGAGCACCTTAGAATATGAAAAGAACTCCCATGTTCTTCTTGGATGGGCAGAATTAATATTATCAAAATTGTCATATTAAAAGACTAATACTTTTGTCAACAAAAGCATTATCAGATTCAATGCAAATCCTATTAAAATACCAATGACATTCTTTACAAAACTAGAAAAAAAATTCATCTGGAAGAATAGCTAAAGCAATTCGACCCAGAATAGCTAAAGCAATTCTGAGCAAGGATAGTGATGCTGGAGGCATCACAATATTTAACCTCAAATTATACCAGAGAGCTATAGTAACCAAGACAGCATGGTATTGGTGCCAAAAAAGACATGAAGACCAACGGAACAGAGTAGAAAACACACAGAGAGAAATCCATATACATATAGTCATCTGACACTCGACAAAGGTGTGGAAAACATATGTTGGAGAAAAGATAGCCTTTTAACAAATGATGCTGGGAAAACTGGATATCCATATGTAGAAGACTGAAACTTGATCCCTATCTCTCATGCTTCACAAAAGTCAACTCAAAGTGAATCAAAGGCCGAGGAATTAGACAAGAAACTGCAACTGGTAGAAAAAAAATGTAGGCTTAACACTCCAACATATTGGCACAGACATTGACTTCCATAACATAACTTCTAAAGTGCAAGAAAGAAAACCAAGAATCAAGTGGGATGGCATCAAATTAACCAGCTTCTGCATAGCAGAGGAAACAAGAGTGTGCAGAGAGAACCTCCAAGAATGGGAGAAGATCTTTGCTACCTGCTCCTTAGCTAGGGGATTAATATCCAGAATATATGAAGAACTCAAAAACCTTTATACCAAACAACAACACCAACCACAACAACCACCATAAAAACCCCCATCAAATCATCCAATTAATAAATGGGCTAAAGAACTAAATAGATAACTTTTTAAAAGAAGAAACACAAATGGCCAACAAATATATGAAAAAATGTACAACATCTCTAGAAATCAGGGAAATGCAAATAAAAAGTGCATTGATATTTCATCTCACTCCAGTCAGAATGGCAATTATCAAGAATACAGATAATAATAAATGTTGGCTAAGATGTATGTGTGGGGGGAAGGTACACTTACGTATTGTTGGTTGGACTGAGTATTAATATAAATACTCTGGAAAGCAGTATAGATTTCTCAAAAAAAAAAAAAAAAAAAAAAACTGCAAATGAAACCACAATATGACTCAGCTATCCCATCCCTTAGTATATATCCAAAAGATCTAAAGTCAGCATATTATAGGGATGTAGCCACATCAGTGTTTACGACAGTGCAATTCATAATAGTCAAGCTATGGAACCAGCCTAGGTGCCCATCAAGAGATGAATGGATAAAGAAAATATGGTACATATACATAATGGAAAAACGAGCCATAAAGAAGAACGAAATTATGTCATTTGCTGGTGAATGGATGGAACTGGAGAACATCATGCTAAGCGAAACAAGCCAGACCCAGAAAGTTAAGGATCGAATGTTTTCTCTCATTCATGGCAGTTAGATCAAAGTAAGGGGGAATAAAGGAGGAGAGAATGCCATGAAAATAGGAAGAGAAATTTGTGAGGTAGAGGACAGGGATTGATGGGGAGGAAAGAGGGACAGGAAAAGGGAGGAGTGGTGGAATGAACCTGACCAAACATTCCTAAATACATATATGAATATACCATAGTGAATTTCACCTTTATGTATATCCATAATGCACTTATATAGAATACATAGCTTGGCGTGGTGGTGCATGCCTATAATCCCAGGGGCTTGGGAGGCTGAAGCAGGAGGATCACAAGTTCAAAGCCAGCCTCAACAACTTAGCAAGGCCCTAAGCAACTCAGTGAGACCCTGTCTCTAAATAAAATACAAAATAGGGCTGGGGATGTGGCTCAGCGATTGAGCGCCCCTGAGTTCAATCTCTGGTACTCCCCCAAACAGATTATAAATAGATAGAATAAAGATCAATAGTATAGAGGAAAGGGAGCAGGGGAAGGAAGGAGAGAAGTAAAAGGGAAAGGTAAATGGGAAGCACTGGGGACTGAATTGGAGCAAATTACATTCCATGCTTATATAATGATGTCAAAATGAACCCCAAGAGTGACATAAGCCAGAATAGAAGAACACTGCATGATCTCACTTGTTGGTTAAAAAGAAAAAAAATACACAAAAAAAGTAGTATGGAGGTTCCATGGAGAGGTGGGAGAGAAATACTATTCCCTCTGCCTGGGGTATTTTCCCTCCGGTTTCACTTAGTCAAATCCTCTGTGATTTTTAGATTTTCTTCCAGTTACTTCCTCAAGGAAGTTTTCTCCACTAGAGGCTTTATCTGGGCCTGTTGTCACTTGTCTGTTAGCTGTGGTCTCTAATGCCAGTCTCTCACAAACTGCGGGAAAAGATTTTGTGTGCATGCGTTTACCATAGTAGCACAGACATTCGTCACAGTGCACGGTCAGAGGGGATCAATGGGTATGTGATAAATACAAAGACTAGTCTCTCATCCTAAGACTCAGCCTTTGCCTCCCATCTCGCACCCCTCACTGCTTCATTGGACACCCCAGGCCAGACTTACCTCAAGGTCTCCAGGTAGCACAGAGGTTGTCTCAGGGTCTTACGAAGATTCTGCACTGCAGAGTGACTTAGCGAATTTCCACTAAGGTCCAGCTCCCTCAGGCCTCCACTGACTCTGAGAGTAGAGAAGAGAACCTGCCAGCTGTTGTCGGTGATGGGGACCCATCTGGACCTGAGGGAGACAGAGAGGAACAGGAGAGATGTGACCCAGATGTGCAGAGTCTATGTGCACAGCACTGCACAACAGGGAGGGGTTCTGTCCTCCTGAGCACCAGGCCTCAGTGGGCAGTGCCATTGCCAGGACTGACCCACGTTTCCACCTGCTCCTGCCAACCTGGTTAGGTGCCCTCCTCTGTGTGGTACCTCATTCTACAACCCTTACCAATAGTATACCGATGTGCTCATCCTCTCCATCTTTTTCTGTCTGAGCCTGGGAGTTCCCTGAATGCAGGGGCAGATAGTTGGTATCTCTTTTTATCTGTAGTACTCAGCATAGCCCCTGGCATAGAGGAGGAGCTTGGAAATTTGGACAGCCCTCCTCCCATCAATGAAGACATACCTGTCTTTGGCACAGAATTTTGGAGTCCCAGTGGCTAGAAAGGAGATGGGAACAGAGTCCAGGAGAGACGGTTTGAGGATGATTTTGTGATGGGATGTTGGATATGATTAGATTACTACTCTCCATGTTGGTTTTCGTGGGCCCCTGTACTTTCTAAGGACAGCAAGACCTTGGTGAAGTTCCACAGGAAAGAGATGGCAAAGGGAATGTCCTAGGAGAGAATATTTGCAACCCAGATGGGAGAGGATGATGAGTTTCACATGAGTGTTAGAGTAGACTCTGCCTTATATGACTTCCACCCATGTACTTTCTCCATTTTCACCCAATACTTTAATGATCTCACTTGCTTCTGGGGTGTTTTGGTTGGATATGAGGTGTCCCTCCAAAACTCCTGTTAATGCAGGAATATTCAGAGGTGAAATGATTGAATTGTGAGAGCTGTAGTCTTATCAGTCCATTCTAGTTTGAATGAACTGGGTGGTAACCATAGGCAGGTGGGGCATGACTGCAGGAGGTAGGTCACTGGGGTTGTGCCCTGGAAAGGTCCACCTTCCCTGTGGCCTCTTTCCCCTCCCTCTCTTTGCTTCCTGACCTTGTCTTGAGTTCAGAAGCTTTCCTCCACTTCACCTTAAGCCCAGAGCTTGCTTGGTTTTGTAGAGCTTGAATAACACATCTTTAAATTTTTGCTTCACCTTAAGCCCAGAGCAATGGAGTTGGCCATCTATGGACTGAGACCTCTGAAATCATGAGCCGTAAATAAACTTTTCCTCCTCTAATTTGTACTTGTTGGGCATTTTGGTCACAGAGATGCAAAAGCTTACTGAAGCACAGGGCTTCAACTGCTCAAGCTCTATTCCATGTTTCAGAGTGACATTTCTGTTTTCTTGCCAGATGTCTCTATCACCACACTCCAGTAACTCTTCGACCCACTACAGTCCAGTCTTAATTCATTTTTCCCCTAAAGTCTCCAAAGCAGTGCAGAGGTGTGGAGCAGAGGCTCTGGAACCAGCTGCCTGCTTGCAAGTCCCCCTCCCTGTGCCTCATTCAGTCTCCTTAGTTGCAAAATCAGGACAGCAATAGCACTGGATGGTGCACAGGGTGTGTGACGATTATAAGATACTGCAGAATCTCTCCCAAATCCTAGTGCAGTTTTAAGCATTAAAATATAAATGTCAAAAATACAAATGCTACACATGCATCCAAAAAAAAAAAAACATTCTCCAGGTGGCCAGTGTTGACTGAAACAAAAATTTAAACATGTGTTATTCAAGCTCTACAAAACTAAATAAATATAAAATAAATCAAATAATTAAAGTTCCAAAGGATGGATTTTGTTGATTCATACATAGCATTTTATACTACCTGAAGGGCAAAATTCAAAACTGATTCTTCAAAATGTATGTTGCTTGATTATAAGACAAATAGATACCTGAGGCCTCTCATCCTGCCTTGATGTATTTGGTGGTGCTGGGGATTGAACCCAGGGCCTTGTACATGCAAGGCAAGCACTCTACTGACCAAGCTATATTCCTAGCCCCTTTTCCTGGAATTTTTTTGTTGGTGGACTCTAGTCTCCTGGCTGTTCTCCCTGCCTGGCCTGGCTGACTTGGAGCCTCTCAAATCTCCCTCTCCACTTGTAGCAATACCCCCCACTTTCCCATGGGATGCTGCTACCATCCATTCCAAATTCTCTTTCTCTGGCCTTGGTGTCCCTGGTTCCTCTTGTCCCCCATCTGGTCTCTGCCTCTGTGCCTCTCCAGGATGCACATCAGGCCACTGCCACTTGCAACACCTGTGTCCACATCCTTTAAGGCCAACATCATGTTTACAACCAAGAATAACTAGAAACAATCCCATGAATAGGGGAATGGTCAAATCAGTCATAGAGCTCTCCTGAGGGATGACCCCATGGTCATTCAAAATGCTGTTGTATCAGACTTAATAACACAAGAAGATAGTCTTGACCTTTTAGGAAAATAAAGCTGACTGATATAAAATGTATAGCATGGTTCAAATGAATAGAAGACATAACTGAATTATTATTATTATTATTATTATTTTCTGGTGTCAGGGATTGTACTCAGGGGCCCTTAACCACTGGGCCACACCCAGCCCTATTCATTTCTTTATTTTGAGAGAGGGTCTCAATGGGTTGTTTACAACCTTGCTAAGTTGCAGAGGCTGGCTTTGGACCTGCAATCCTCTTGCCTCAGTCTTCTGAGCCTTGGGAATTACAGGTGAGAGCCACCATGCCCAGCAATAACGCAATTCTTAATGATGGTCATCTCTGAGTGATGGAATTACAATTGATATTAATATACATCTTTTTGCTTATCTACATATCTTAATCTTTCTACAGTGAACATGGGTTTTATTATGAGAAAAAGCTTTAAAAATCTGAAAAGAGAAGACTCAAATAAATAAAACATTTTTTTCCTCTGGGCCTTTCTCCTTTTCTGGTTCACTTGTGTGCTCATTCCCTTCTTTGGGCCCCCATAATACCTTTTCCATACCTCTATTATCGCAGGCCGTCAAATTCTATTGTAATTATTTGATGGATGACTGTTTTCTCTCCGAGTTCCTTAGGGCAGGGATTGTTTTTTTGATTTGTAATTTGTAGGGCATGGCACAAAATCAGTGTTAAACTAATATTTTTGGAATGAACCATCTAAGGGGGGAAGATAGACTCATACTGATACTGAACGATCAATACTGCCACACAGGCAGGGGAAGTTCCCAGTGTTGCTGGGGTTGGATGGCCACTCAGACAGCTACTGTTTTATGCTTAGAGAGTGTGTTTCAGGTTGAGTGTCCAGGGCAATAGTGGCATCATTGATGCAAATAAGGAAATCAGTTTTGCAGGGAAAAATTGGGGACTCCACTTCATAGACATGTATCCTGAAGTGATGGGGGAAGATCTCAGGGTCAATGTCATTGTCATGGGAAGGGAGAGGGAGGTGTGCTTAAAGCAGTTGAAAGAGAAATTTATCATTTCTTGGAGAGACAGCATATCAAGAGAGAGAGCAGCAGAGGCAGATGGATTGCTTGATCCTTGGAGAGGGTAGAGTTTTTTTTTGGTACTGAGGGATTAAACTCAGGGTGCTTTACCACTGAGCCACATCGCTAGCCCTTTTTATTTATATTTATTTTTATTTTGAGACAGAGCCTCACTAAGGTGCTGAGGCTGGCTTTGAACCTGCTATCCTCCTGCCTCAACCTCCTGAGCCACTGGGATTACAGGCATGTGCCACTGTACCCAGTCATGCAGACTTAAGTAGGTAGAGAATGGTGGTTGGATGGGGCAGTTAGAAATCATGGTGACATCATCCTTTGGCCCCTGGGGCTGAGCCTGAGTGTCTGCAGTGTTCAGGAAGTGTGTGGGAGCTGATGAGAGGAAAGGTCAGGATACTCACAGGACAACTCCAGGGGGTCTCCATCCTTGTCCCTTCTGTGGGCCCTCATTCAGCTGAAGCCTCTTCACATGACTGCAGAATTTAATGCAGAAAATGAACACCAGAAGCTCCATGTCTGTCTGGACATACATCCTTGTTCTTTGGAAACAGTCCATGGCTTGCATTAGGAATTCCTCATCCTGAGTCTCATACAAACAATGGAGAAACTCCAGAGAGTGTGGTTGTCCTGGTGGGGATTTGGCCTCCACCCATTGCAGCAGCTCCCATTTCCTTTCCGGAGACAACTGGAAGGTGAAGGGTTTCTCTGTTGCTCTTGACCAGTGATCACTTAAGAGGCCGAACAGGAAGCGCACAGTTGGTGCCCCAAAGAGGTTGTTCCTTCCATACACATCTAGCAGCTCTTCCATACCTCCAAGGCCATCAGGACTTTGGCTTCTTTCCTCCTTATCCCTCAAGGCATAGGACATTGCTGCAAAGAACTCCTGGAAACAGAGATGAATGAAGCTATAGGTCAGGGAGTCAGGGCCCTTGCGGAGAACACCCCTCTTCAAGAAAATGGTGATGATGGCTTCATTTAACTCATGCTTCCTGAGGTCACCTGCACTGAACACAGTCTTTCTTTGCCAGAGGCCTTCAGCAGCCAAAGAACAGAAGTCCTTGAGCTGTGTCCCTAGGTGTGGAGCTGGAAAGGCCTGGAAAAGGTAGTGCATACACAGGCTTGTGATGGTCTGAATGGTGGGTGGGAGTTCTTTCCCCAACTCCATGTTCTCCTTCAGGTACGTGCAGACCATCCAGGACACCAAGGGCATGAGACACAACGTCAAGAGCTCAGGGTTTGATTCCAGCATAGTAAAGGCTTTGTTTGCTTGGCTTTCATCTGTGAAATATTTGTAGAAATATTCTTTCCTGCCAGATTCAGAGAAGCCCAGGACTTCTACCCAACGTGGTTGCTTCAAAGAAGGAATGAGTTTCTGCAGATCTGTGGTCCGAGATGTGACCAGCAAGGAGGCCTCAGGGAGTATGGCTTTCCCCAGCAAACTGCCCAGGAGTGCATGCACGGGCTGTGACTGGCTCCAGTGCACACAGAGCTCAGGACTCTGATTCTCCAAGACCCATTTTGGCTCATCGATACCATCCAGGATGAAGAGCAATTGCTCTGGTTGAGACAGGATCTGCCTGATGGGTGCTGTAGGGGCTGTCCCATCTTCTGAGATGAGCTCAGCCAGACTCACCAACTTGCATTGGACCAGCTCTCTGCAGCTGAAGTAGAAGATGTGCTGGAAGCGGTCTCTGAACAGCTGGCCTTCTTCCCAGGCTCCCCTCACCTGCCTGGCCAGTGTTGACTTTCCAATTCCAGGAGCCCCATGCAGTATGACAATATGAGGTTCTTTCTGGAAACCTGGGCCTGGGCTAAATAATTCACGGATCTCAATCAAATGTCCTTGCTCCTCCTCCTTGCTCCTCCAGCTTTTCCTGGCCAGGGGATCCTGGCCTCTGGGATGAGGTTTTTGTAGAAGTAGCAGCTGTGTGAATTTTTGGTGCATATTGTCATTTTTCCAGGATTGTGCATGGCGGAGCTTTTCTCTTCTCTGGTTTTGATATCTTTCTCTGATTCCTAAATAAGGGAGGAAAAGATGGGAACTAATGGTACAGAACAGAGTTGATCATTTATTCATTTAACAACTGAATGGACTTAGGTATCTACTCTGAGCCACATAGCACATTAACTGCAGATAATGGTGGGTTCTGGCAGGTGATGTAGAAGGAACAAGGGCTTTGGAGTAGAAGATTTTAGTTCAAATCTTTACCAAGTCATACTCTCTGATATATATTTTTTTCATTCAAATATTTATCCAGGGCTTTCCAAATGCCAGGCACTCCTCTAGGGGCTGGGAATAAAGAGTGAACTGACAGACACAACTGTCTGCCCTCATTAAGCCTAGGACTTGGGCCATGAGCTGCTCTGAGCCTCAGTTTTCTCATCTGTAAGTTGGGCATTTTGATATCTCCTTGTAGGAGGAGTGGAAATCATAGATAACGGAGCAGATGCTGTTGTCTCCTGAATGGCATCTTTTCAACACCCACCATTGCAGGACCTGCCAATCATATCCTTCAATAAGCACCTGTGATTGTCTGAGGGCTCTCTCATGGCCCACAGTGGGATGTGCCAGAAAGACTGCAAAGCTAATGCTCTAGAGAAAGCATTAGCTGACAACAGATGGGGTCCTCTGTACTCAGGACAGGCAACTCTGAGGAATGTTCTACATTGTCTCCCAGACATCCTCAACAGCATTGAACCTCAGTTGCTGCTTTGGTTTGGATGTCATTTATTTCCCCCCAAACTAATTGAAATTTGGTTGCTGATGTAGTGGTGTTGGAGGTGGGGCTTAATGGGAGGCATTTAGGTCATGGGGGAGCAGCTTTCATGAAGAGATTCATTCATTTCTTGAGGAAATGAGTTAGCTGTGGAGGGAATTGGACTCCCTTTCCTCTCTTCTGCAGCCTCCTGCTTGCTCTTCTGCCCCCTGTCCCTCTCTCCACACATGGAGCAGCACAAGATCCTCAACAGAAACTAAGCAGATGCGGCCATCTGATTTAGGACTCTTGGCATCCAGAACTGGCAGGAGATAAGTAAACCCCTTCTTTTTATAAAGTACATGGTCTCAGTTACTTTGTTGTAGCAACAGAAAATGAACTAAGACAGATGCTCACAGGGGTAGCCTGCTCCATGGTGCACCTTTTCAGGGATTCTTCCTCCCCAGACTCACTTCCTTCTTCACTCCCAGTGCCTCTGGGGAATCACCTCCCCAATAAACTACCTGCACACACAACTCATCTCAGGACCTGCTTCTAAGGGAACCAACCTGTGAAAGATGGAAAGATGCCTAGTGAACAGTGAGAAGCTGAGCTCATCATGTAAGAGATCGTTCCCCACAGAGGGTCTTCAGGCTCCAAATTAAGTCAGATTCTGAATGGTGCAATTGTTATAATCTCGCCCCACATTTCTCTTCCTAACATTTTGAATGTCTCTTGCTTTCCCCCCTAGATGAATTTTAAAGATGATTCAGATGATTCATCTGGGATGGTGAAGACCAGTTTACCCCAGGACACCTGGTGGGCTATATCTGGAGGTCAAGTTACTACCTGTCCTACCTTTCAGGCGGGATGAAGAAAATCTGGGGAGAGTAGGGAGTGTGGAGTCAATTCATATTGTTATTCTTTGTGAGACTGCAGCTTCAGGGTCCAACTCACCTCTGAAATCATAATCTATGGGTCTGCCTTTATTGTCTCTTGTGAGAACATTTCTAGCAATGTGAATACCTTCTAGGAACAATAGGTCACTGCCAATTGTTACCTGGGGCCACCACCCACTCTGCTCAGGCTGTGCCTCTTGAGATGCCAAGAGAGAACTTAACTCTTCTGATGTCACTTTTTCCAAAACCTCCTAGTTTTCATGGATCTGTGACCATGGACTCTCCTCTTGAATCAAGTCACACTTAAAAAATATTTTCTTTCTTGAATTAAGTAATACTTAAAAAAATCCTCTACCTTGAATGAGTTTCATTTTAATATTACGCCCCTGACCAGGTAGGTGTTGGTCAGCTCCATCCAAATCCACAAAAACCAGGAAGATGGCTGGATTTGGCCTGTTTTTGCCAGTCCCAGCCAGCCACCTGTTTTTGTACAGATTGCAAGCTGAGAATGACTGTTACATTTTCAAATGGTTGAAAAAAAAATCAAAAGATGAATATCATTTCATGTTGTGACAATTATATGATATTCAAAATTTAGTGTCCATAAATATAGTGTCATTGGAACACAATCATGACAGTTTGCTGGTGTATCGTCTATGGTTGCCTTAAGGCTGTGATGGCCGGTTTGAGTAGCTGTGGCAAAGACCCACAGAGTTTAAAATATTGTTTATCATTTCCTTTACACAGGCAGATTTTTTTTTGCCTTTGTTCTTGATCAATCAGAAAGCCTGCTGTGTGATTTCTGTACTTGTTATGAAACTGTTCAACTTCCACCCTTGAAGAATTTCTTTAGAATTTAGAATCAGGGAAAACTTGAGGAAATGGGTTAGCTGTGGAGGGAATTTGACTCCCATTCCCTTGAGTGGGTCTTTTCTTATTGATAATAGCTATTATGTAACCCATTATATTGCTCTTTTTTCCCTGCTTGCCAGGATGCTCAGAACCGATGGAACCTTTAATTGTAGCAACTAATTTGCCTTCATGGTTTTTATACTTGCTTTTTAAAATTTTTTTATCATTATTGCATTCTAGTAATAGTGCATTGGTATGTTTCTGTACGATGCCTCGACTCCTTCCTATTTTTCTGCCTTTTCTCATTTCTTCTTTCCCTTCTTTCTTCCTTCTTTCCTTTTGTGAATGGGAAGTGGTGTGACTAATTAAATCAGTTGACACACACTGAGCCTAGGCCACATTTTCGGCCCATGAATTCTGTAATTAACTCCCATTTGTGTATAGAAGGATTCCTTTTCACTCAACATCTCTCAGATACAGAGGGAGCCCATCCCCTAGCATGGGTTAAGACCATAACACCAGAAGCCAGTGTGGCTGTGGCTTTGAAATGACTGTCGTCATTGCCTACACAGCAGAAGGGAGTAGGACATAGGGGTTAAAGGTGTGGACTGTGGTGTTGGGGAGAAGGAAGGCTGAATTCCAGCTTTGCCCCACATTGTGACACTTTACTTTTTTCAGCCTCAGTTTTCTCATTTGCAAGATGGGACCATAAGAGTGGTTGTGAAATTTAAATAGAATGAGCAATTGAAGCACTGGCACAGGGTCTGACGTGGAGTGGGGTGTCTAGCAAGCACTTGCAGGCATGTGACTTTCTCTAGACCACTTCCAGCAGGGGATTGGTGAGAAGCTCTGTGGACATCAGATCCAGCTTACCTGACCCCTAGGCCAGTGGAGTATGTTTCTTGTGCTGGAGAATGCACCCACATCCGCATTTTTAGCGGCTTCCTAGAAGCAGTGCCTTGGTCTAGTGGTGACTGCAGTGTTAGGGGTCCTAGGGAATGGATTCAGAGGTTCTCCAGGTCCTCTGCTCAGCCTGTTAACCTGGACCCCAGGGATCTGATTTTGTGCATGCCTTTGTACCCCCGCCATGCCCCAGAAGCTAGGCAAGGCCTCACCTCTGTAATAATTTCCAGATGTTTCAGCCAGAAGCCTCTCAGTCTCAGGAGCTCCCTGATGCCTTGGTTCTGCATTGGTTTGAGGTGGAGGTTCCCAGCCCCCCAGCACTGTGGATGTGGGGGCATTGGGTGACTCTTGGCTTGGAGACTCCTGGTCTGTGGAGCTTGAAGGAGCTCGGTGGAGGAACAAGGGAGGATTTCCTGGATGGGGGGATGGGGGATGACAGAAGAGAAATGATTAGCTACTGAAAATGCACTTTGACTCTCACAATGATCTTGTGGACTAGTTGTTAAGATCTTATTGTTAAAGCCACATCAAGGTAGATGGAGAGTTTTATTTTCTTACGGCTGGTCTGAAGCATGTTGGTGGGAGTATAGTGTGTTTAAGGTTGCAAGATTTTGATGAACCACTTGAGAGGCCAAACTACCTATTTCAAGTAACCATAGTTACTCTGCAGCTTCCTGGGCAGGGTGGATCCTCTTTACTGCAGTGCACAGTTTTGCCAGACACTGAGAACTCAGGCCATGCAAGTTGGAGGCAGAGTTGAATTGTTCAAAGTGATAGAGAGCGGAAGAGCAGTCTGGTACTGTATTGGGCATGGGAAAGAGGAGAGTGCTCTTGGGAGGCATAAATAGTGGGGGAATCTTTGTTGGGGGAGACATGTGAGCAGTCTAGCCCCTCTTATCATATCAAAGTAGAGTGTTTGCTCAGATTTTGTGCAAGTAGATATGTGTGTGCGTGCATGTGTGTGTGTGTATGTGTGTGTGTGTGTGTGTGTGTGTGTGTGTGTGTGTGTAGCTTAATTCTACCCTGTGGAGTTGGAGGTGGTACAAGGAGCTAAAATTAAGTAGTATGAAGTCTCAGATGAGGGTGGAAAGACTTGTTCCACATCACACCACAAGTTGGTGAAGTCAGAATGAAAACTGAGGGCAATGGAGTTGGAGCCTGTAGCCACCCCTGCCAGGACTTGGGAGCAGAGGAGTGAGAGTGGGCACAGAGGAAGGGGAAGGAAATTGGGGCAAACCCAGGACTTCCACAAAGCAGTGGCAGGGTGGAGAAGGAAATAACTTCCCCAGGCATGGATTGCTCTGGATTCTAGCCCTGGCTCTGCCCCTAAGTGCTTGTGAGCTTGAACAGGCGGGCTGTTCTCTCTAGCTCTTCTGCACTGTCAAGAGGTGGCCATTTTGATTGTTGGGATAGGAGAGGAAGAGGCAAGGGTGTAGCTGAGGTTTGAACCCTGGTGACCAAAACGATAGAGAATAAAATAAGAGAAGTTAGGAAAGGGAACTGGCTGGGGATGAGGAATGAGCCCAGCCTCATGCTCAGATTTTGTGCAAGTAGATATGTGTGTGCGTGCATGCATGCATGTGTGTGTGTGTGTGTTTTCATCTGGAGAACAGAAGCCTCTTTTGAACTTCTGGGCTACCCTGACCCTGTGGATCTTCAGTGCCCACCAAGATTATGGGATGAGCTCTGCATGGTCAAGGACCATGCCACACGGGACTGATGCACATGTGTCTCAATTTCCCCATCTGTCAAACGGAAAGGGGAGCAGTCTCAGCACTGAGAGGTCCTTGAAGGACCATTACTTCCAGCCGTATTGCTCTCACCACCCCTATCCTGTCTCTTTCATCTTTCCTCTATAGTATGCCCCCCAGGTCCCCATGAAGGTCCATGTGTACCTGTGGGGACCCACTGGCTGACTCACTGCCCCACCCCAGTCCCAGGCAGGGCTCTTAACTCACCTTTCTGGATGTGGCTAGGTGTTAAAGGAAAAATTCTCTTTGATTCCTGGGTGGACCCGGTGCAAGGAAAATTCCAGAACTTCAGCACTTCTGTGGAGGTGGGCCAGCTAGGGGACTCCATGGCGGGTGTATTTGGGGAGCCGATGATTAAGGAAGAGTGGGCTATGGGAAGGAGACAGAGAGGTTGAGGGCTCGTCTGAGGGGCAGGAACAGAAGCCAGACTGAGCCTGGGGTTCTTCATATCAATCAGGTCCCATTTCTTAACCAAGTGAGGTCAGGAGAAACCCATGAGCCCACTGAGGCCCTCACAACCTCCCCCTAACAGGCTCATCCAGAGAATGGTATCCTCACAGACACCACTGGGCAAAAAGTCCTGATCTGGGGCTCAGGGAATTTGCCTACCTTTCCTGGTTCTGATGTTGCTTCTTTGGGTAAGTTAAAATTCCCCTCTGAGCGTTAGCTCTCCCACGTGGGGCTACCAGCACCTGCCTCCCCGGGTTGCCAATAGTGATAATAGCAGCAGCAGCATCAATAGCAAGAGCTTGCATTTATGGAGCATTTACTGTATATTAGGCTCTGCTAACAGTTTCACATGGATTATCTCTTTTAACTCCCACACAGGCCAAGGAGACAGGCTCTTACTCTCTCATGGAGAAACAGAAGCAGAGTAGTAAAGTGACTTGTCCAGGGTGGCAGTGCTGTGACAGGAGCCTGCCTCTGCCTATCTCCCAGTCTATGTTCATAACTACAATGCTCTGTAAGGGCTTCTTAGGGAGCCGGGCTTGAAACCCATGCCCACTCCTCTCTGTACCCTTCTGAATGCCAGTCTACCCCCCCATCAGCCCTCCAGGCACTGTGAGGATCACATGGGGATAGAAATGCACTGGAACAGAAGAGGGTATAGGGCAAGGGGTCTAGCAAGAGCCCCCCCAGCAAGCCTTCCAGCTCTAGCCTAGTCTGGCACCTGAATGCTCCTTTGGGCAGTCCCAAGTCACCCACCCAGAGGTGGCTTGGTGGGGGGGTTCAGTGGTGGTAGTCCCAGTGGGACTGAGGTAGGGTCTTTTTCTACTCACTTGAAGTCAAGGTCGTCTTTGCCTGGGCCTGGGCACACAGCAGACTCAGGCCCATCTGTTCCCAGGTGTGGAAGGCCAGGTCCCAGGCTCGCTGCTCCCCATACTGAGCCACCAGTTGTGAGGCCACCTCCGTGCCACTTGCCTTCTCTGGTTGAGCTGGTGTCACACCAGAAGAACACCCAAAGAGTGTTTTGTTGGATAGCCGAAGCTGGAATTCCTTCAGCTCCTCTTTCGGCAGTAGCTCCAGGTAATGAGCCAGCTGGTCCTGGGTCCCTCTGGCCATCTCTGCCCCAGGCAGGAGAGCCTTGGGGATATTCATGGGGGGAGCAGTGGGTAAGTGAGTGGGTGGTGAAGGGCATCAGGCAGGTAGAGAAGAGTGATCTTCCTTTGCCTTGGCCAATGCACGTCTCTCAATGCACGACTCTCATGGGGATCATGTCTCTTAGCCTGGCAAACTCCGATTCAGCATTTGGGACTCAGCTTTGTAAACTGAGGGCATCTGCCAATATAGATGATGTCGGGAGGACAGAGGGGAGAGGAGTGGTAGGAGAATCACAGGAGGGAGGAGACCCCAGGGGACTGGAAGATACTGGAAGAAGTCAGAATCCATGGAGGTTCTGGGGCAGGGCCCAGGGCTGGTCAGGAAAGGTGATGGGGGAGGAGGAATGGGAGGAGGGAGGGGTGGGAGGATGGAGGGATGGGGAGATGAGGGTGTGACTGACACTTACTATTCTGGGTTCCTCAGATTCTTCCTTCTCCTGGGATCTGGACTCTTGGAATCAACCCTTGAGACACAGCACTGAGAGGAGGTGAGGTGGAGGGGGGCAGAGGCCATACAAGTAGTGGGCTCAGAGCCCAGGACTGAGCTCAGGGCTGGAGGGGGGCAGATGCCATGCAAGTGGTGGGTTCAGAGCCCAGGACTGAGCTCAGACCCATTTGCAAGTCTCTCCAGAATGCTCCTGGTTGGGACATCTCCTAGTTGAGAACAACCCAGAGCTGGCCACAGCAGGAAGGACAAGTCACCCAGAGGAAACCTCTGAGGGGTGTGGTCAGGGAAGGGGAGGGGCCTGGACAGGCCTATCTATATCCAGGACAGACACATGCTGTGTGCAGGTGCATATTGCACCCTGTCACCCATCACCCAGAGCCTGCCTGCAGGGCCAGGGTGCAGACTCTCCAGGCAGGGGCTGGGGTTGTGCGCCCTGGCACTGAGGGTAGGTGGGGTCCCCCTATATCTGCCAGGGCGAGCTCCTTAGTGGAAAACGTTAGAGTTGTCTGGGAAGCATCTTTCCAGCCTCTCATGGTTTGGGGGCTTCCTGAGCCCCACTTGCTCATCCTGACATCTATCTATCTATCTATCTATCTATCTATCTATCTATCTATCTATCTTTCTATCTATCTCTATATTATCTGGGAATAGATAGATTCCAGATCGAGGGGGCTGTGCAGGCTGCCCAGCTCTCAGCTAGCAAACATCTCCACCCGAAAGCGGAACAGTCCCTGTCTTATCGTCGCAAAGCCAGGCACTGGGGGAATCAGAGACAGATGTTCTTCCTCTTTTGTCAAAGTGGCAGAGTTTGGGGACTCTAGGTTGGAGAATGACATTGCCCAACTCATTTGCTATTGTGAAATAAATAACACCAGGAGTTTCAGAAGATGCCTTGACTTGCCCTGAGCTGGAGGAGCCCAGGCGTCAGGAACTTCAGTCCATGGCTTGCTTGGCCACTGGCTCCCTGAGCGGCTCATTCATGTCTTTGAGCCTCAGTCTGTTTTTTTTTTTTTTTTAATTAAGTGGGACATCATAAGTTTGCCAAGAGCCTCCAGTTCAGCAGGCATTCTTCAAACATCCTGGATCTGAGCTCTCAATCAGATCACTTCCTTTTTTCCCCTGCAGCCTGCCTGGATCACATGCTCTTTGTTTCAGTAAATGACTGCTGGGGCCCCAAACATTGGGTCTTCCTCGACTCCTGTCTCTCAAACCTCACATCTAATCTAGCAACTTGTGCTGACATCATTTAGAGAGATCCCGAGTCTTCTTGCCCCTGCCTATTGAGACTGCTGGTCCAGCCAGCATCTCTTTTACCAGGATAGCTGCTCTAGCTTCCAAATTCTTCTCCATGGTGCTGATGCTGCTCTTTTGCTGTCTACTTAGCCCAGCAGCCAGAATTATCCATCTAAAATATGAATTAATTCAGTTCTCTCCATCTCACTATGAGTAAGAGCCAAAGTCTTCCCAGTGGCTCACAAGATGCTGTAATCCAGCCCTGTGGTCTCTCTGGATGATATCCGACTCCCTTTCCCTCTCTCATTCTGCTGGGGGTCCTCTTGGCCTCCTTCCTAGTCTTTGAACACACCAAAAACATTCTCACCCCCGGGCCTTTGCATTGGCTGTTCATTCTCTTGGAATGACTTCCCCCAGCTATCCAGACTCTTGCTACCTGTACTATAACGCATTATTCCTTCCCTCTAATACCCTTCACCCTGCTTTATTTTCCATTGACACCACCTGACATTATAGACTTTGTGTCATCCTCACCTGCAAATAGAATGTTAACTTTTGGAAGACAGGATTTCACTTGTTTTATGGACTCTTATATTCCCTACGCCTAAATCATCGCCTGGCTCACAATACCATCACAATAAATGCTTACGTATCCTGAATGTCTTTTTGACTTCTTTCCTTTTTCATCCTTCTAAGCAGCTATTTACTCTGGCCACTAGATGGCACTCAAGTACTTTCTGTAGGTTGAAACTGCCTCATCAATTAGAGGATCTCTGGTTCTCTCCAACTGAGTGCTTTTTTTTTTTTTTTTTAAATTGCAAAATTAGCTTCTTGTGGACACAATTTAAAAGCAAAGTATTTTACCAAGTTTCTAGCTACATAAACCAAAAAAAATAGATGTTATCTGTTCTCTATCACGTGTAATTATAATGCCCCAGAGTCACCTGCATTCATTTTTTTAGCTATTCTTTTTGACATTTGCCTTCACATTTCTAAATAAACATTTCTACTATTAGCTCTTTATCATTAGTTTTAGGTATCAGCTTTTGACTTCCTGCTATACAACATGAGGATTTAACTCTTTTCATGCTCATTTTCATCCAAATACAATCTTTCCCCTGCTCCATCCCCCATCTTCCCAATAAAGTCCCCCCCTGCATCCCCAGGTGGCACATATAAATGGAATCATATAATTAAAAACAAAAACCTCTATTGGGGCCTGGATTTTTAAAGTCCTCTCTGTTTCTGGTGCTTTGGGTCTTTGCTTCCTTTCATTGCAGGCCTTTTAGGAGCACATAAAAAAACCAATTTTATTCAAGTCATGTTATTTTCTATTAAAAAAGGACCAATGAGGATCCTCCATGTGTCCCCTACCTGACCAGAGTAAACTAATGCTTTCTTTGTAGATTTAAATTATCGTGACTTCAAGCCAAATCTCTGCAGCTCTTGGATGTAGGTCTCCTTAAAATTTGTTTCCTCTCAGCTGTTTCCAAAAGTGTCCTTGGCATTACCTGATGGGGATTCTGGAGTCAGTCCTCAGTATGCTCTCTGACCTCCTGGTCTTACTGCCTTGCTGTTGTCCCCAGGATTTCAGATGCCATCTCTGGCTCCCTGAGATTGATGGGCCTTGTTGTTCTTTCTGGCCCACCAATTCTGGGGTCACTGTTCTTTTTTTTGCTTACCCCTAAAATGTGGGACAGGATCCCCTTGATTCTCCCTGACACAGCTGAGACCATGATATAAAGATAACAACTTTGAGGGGCTGGGGTTGTGGCTCATGGTAGAGCACTTGCCTTCCACACATGAGGCACTGGGTTCGATCCTCAGCACCACATAAAAATAAATAAAAATATTGTGTCCATCTACAACTAAAAAATATTAAAAAAAGATAACAACTTTAAACAGACCCTCTTTTGTTTTGTTAAAAATATTTTTTAGTTGTAGATGGACACAATACCTTTATTTATTTATCTTTATGTGGTGCTGAGGATGGAACCCAGTGCCTCACCCATGCTAGGGGAGTGCTCTACCACTGGGCCACAGGCCCAGCCCTGAACAGACCCTCTTAGAGGATCAGGGATAAAGGGAAATGAAGAGAGCAGAAGGTGTCTTACAGTGGCAGCTGCTAACAGTGTTCTTGGAGCCCACAGATCCAAGGCCATTCTTGAGGCCTCTTTTCCAGCCTGCAGTCTCTAGCTCTGTCTGGCCTTCTGTTGACATGGCTAGGTCATTCTTCAGCTCCATGATTCTCCAGTCACCTCCATGCCTGGGAGGCTGGGTCCGTCTGGCTTCTGATCCCCAGGAAGAGATCATTCCAACATAGTGAAGCTTTGACCTCCTCTCATGATGAGTGACATGGAACTATATCTAACCCTTTAGGTGTGTGGTTAGCACTATGGACCCAACAAGACAATAGCTGACAATTCATCTTCTACAACTTGGTATATTTCAGGCTTAGCTAAAACTGTGCACCGAACACTGGTACTTGTCATTCTTGGTTAAAAAAGTACAATCTAGTCCATCTAGTCTCCCTCATTCCCTGTGCCTCCTCTTCCTCCTTTTTCTTCTTGATACTGGGGATTGAACCCAGGGGTGCTCTACCATTGGCCAATCCCCAGTCCTCTTTAGTTTTTGAGACAGGGCTTTGCTAATTTGCTGAGGCTACCCTTGAGCTTGCGCTCCTCCTGCCTCAACTTCCCGGGTTGCTGGGACTGCAGGTGTTTGCCACTGTGCCTGCTCCTCTTCTTCCTTCTAATCTTTCCTCTAGTACAAAGTGAAGGAAATATCAGGAATTGGTGTTTCTCCCCTAACCACGGTTTGCTTTAATCTGTGTGAAATTGGACAATATCAGAAAAAAAAAAAGACAGATTCTGTAAAGAACACCGATATTTATTTGGGAAAAGCACAACAGTTCATGAGAATATCAAGATATTTCAGTGGGAATATGCATGATATAGTAAACTATGGGTGGATTCAAAGAGGATGAGGCAGCCGGGCATGGGGGAACACCCCTGTCATCTCACTTACTTGGGAGACTGAGGAAGGAGGATTGTAAGTTTGAGGTCAGCCTAGGCAACTTAGTGAGTCTCTGTCTCAAAAAACAAACAAACAAACAAAAATACAAAACGTAAAAAGGGCTGAGGATATAGCTCAGAGGTAGAGTGTCCCTGGGTTTATTCCCCAGTACCTAAGGGGGCGGGGAAGGCCAGTTTTCAAAAAGGGAAGTTTTCAAAGACAAAAATAGGGAGGATTACATCAGATATTTTGAAACAATAATTCTTGACCACGATGATTAATAATAGGAGTGGTGTCAGTCTGAGGTTGAACAGACAGTTAAGAAGTTGTGGGGCAGATGTCCCTGAAGAAGTACTTTTTCTATAAGGTTCTGGTGTGGCGTTTGGTGATAGTAATGATTAGGCAGTCATGTATTGGAATCCTTCTTTCATAACCTCCCTGCTTTACTTACTTTTTTTTTTAAATTAAGATTGACACGAGTGCTCCATTTTGATCATGACAGCATTCACATTCCTTTACAACAAGAATATACATGTTCATATCGCCATTTTCTAAGAACACATAATGTCCAAGGGACACAGTCAATTTACATCACTTACAGTAAACACATCCTCCTACTCTGAATATTCTCATTTGACTTTCTTAATTGCATTTAAATCTCAGTCGAGAACAATGATGGGTTCCTGTGTATGTCCCATAAAAATCACCCACCACTAGGGTCCTCCTATGCTCCAGGTGAGGCAGACCAAAATCTCCACTCCAGAAATCATGCATAATGTTTTAGGAATTCTT